AAGAATAGGTTGACCCCACTGGTCACCTCGCCATGGATTCATATTTAAAAAATATATAAAATAAAATATTAATACGAATGTTTACATGGAGACAAGATGCTCTGTAATTATTGTGCAATTATTATTACATGTTTTATTGTTATATATTTGAATTATAACCAAGATGTAGAAGGCAAGACACAAAATATTGTTTCGTGTTTTGAAAACTCAAAAGAAAATATATGTAATTGCAGAAAATGATGGAGAAAGCATAAAAGCTGAAGCCGTTACCTTTCCTTCATCAATAAAAAGATCTCCCACTGACTGTGCTTTTTGAAATGTCATCTTTGCATTTCAATAGAGAGGAATGTCTCACCCCTGCATTGAAGACACTTTTTTATTTTTTATCTTTGCACACCAAACTGTGGATAATAAATACAGGAACTGTTTTTGCCTCTTAGAAACTCAGTGGCAGCTGACTTCAGAGAAAACAACTTCACCTCAGATGATCCAACAGATCCTCAACCATAAGAGCTCACGGGCAACACAAAGAAAAAAGGGAGAGGTGGTACCTGAAGACCCACCTTGATAAGAGAACTGACATATTGCATTTTCATTTTGACACCAAAAGATTGGGATGTTTTTGCTTTTTGAATCCCAAGGCTAGGTTTCTGAAAGTGAAATGTAAAGGGCTGTTTAATTTTCAAAGAGAAAAAAGCATTTTCATTTAAACTTAATTAAATATTGTTTGTATAAATGGAAAATCCTGTTGAAATCAATTCAATTAAAAACCTTTATTTATCCAGGTGAAATCCTATTGAGACATGGAAGACTTTGTAGTCTAGGCATCATGTGGAGCAATGTGAAACATTAAACATAAATAAACTGGTGTATAAAACTCACATACCTGCATTTCAATGGACAGCATAAAAGGACTCTGAGCTGGGTTCTGGTGCTCAGATTAGCTATTGATGATCACGTTGATAAATCATATAAAACAAATAGCCAATCTCACAAAAAACATGTTGCTGTGACTGTGAGCATTAAACAATTAACATTACACTAAACAAACACAACAGTACGTTATTGTCCTTATAAAATAAAAACATACATTTTGTCCACCGAGATAATACAGGCACCTTACCCTCAAGAGATCCTCACGTGCTATGAGAATCTCCCACAATGCATTGCCGTAACAAAGCTAATGCAGGCACACGTTTGTGACACCAGATGGCGCAATTGTGTATGTGCGTGTGGGGAGTCTTGCAGTAGAACATTTGACTGTAGCGCCGCCACTGTGGGCTAAGCCCCGAATGTTTCCAGGTCCAGGCGACGCCCCTGGTGATGACTGTGTAGGTAAACACAAACAAGTATGTAAGTCAATCCGTTTCCAGCTCTGTCAAATAAATGAATTTCAAGATACACACATGTGTCTTCATTCAAATGAGTGTCACCACACTGTCACAAAATGTAATACTAACCAATTGAAAATAGTTACATTTACATTGGAAACCTCTTGTAGATATCACTGTTAAGAGTAGTTATCTGCCAATAGGACAGAATCATTCCTATACAAATGCAGTTTGAGTAATTCACTTAATACATTTACTTAAAACTTTAATATAGTCATTTTCACTTAATACTCTAATATAGTCATCTTTCTGCATTCAACACTAAGGAAAGATGTACAATTTGACATGATAATGAGGAAAAAAGGCCTCCGACAATGCAGATCATTTTGTGATCATATCAATTTTAAGATGCGGGTCAAGGCTTCATATTTGGGAGCATAGTGTCCCTTGCCCCCTTTCAGGAGCCCCACTGGATTGGCTTTGATCTGAAATATTTGTATAAAAAGCTTGTTAGCTGGCTGTCCATCTCATAATGTTCACATAGAAAATAGCTGTCAATAGGAATATCAATCAGAAGAATTATATTTTCATGCAAAATCTGTCTCAAAAAGAGGTTGCACATTTAAATGCAGGTGTTGTTATGGCAACGTCAGTGGCCAGACAGCCACATGTACTGCTGCAAATACGTTCAAACATGCTGTCGACACGTAAAGCAGTGGCATGCCACCATTTCAGCTGACCTTTTCTCAGAAATACTGTCACATAACATCCATATATTTCAGTGCTAGGTTGATGCTTAGCTAAGCTAACTATGAAACACTTTAACTGACAGGACTCAGGATCAACTGCTTCATGTCGAACACAGACAGTAAGTCAACATTTCCCAGAGAGCTTTCTTTGAAATCACCAGGTAACGCTAAAAAACACAACATTTAGATTGTATGACAAAGTGTTTATTTAATATATCTGGCTAGCTATAGCTACTTGCTAACGGTTTAGCTTACCCGCGCGATTCAAAGTAACGTCAACGTAGCTATAATTTATGCTTTGCTTACATGTTCGCATAACTTGTAAGTTTACTGACAGGTACATACCTTGTTCACCTGGCTCAGGTGGCGGCTCTGGGGTTGTTGTGTGAGCCACCACCTGAGAATTGCCGTCTTTTTTATTAAAGAAATGTCTAATGTCCATCTTCAGAATCTCCGCGTCCGGGGCTGACAGTTTAAAGTTTAAACATTGTCACAGAGGAGAGGTACGTACCTGTCAGCCAATAAAACACGTTTATGTCCATGCAACTCTCTGATTGGTCTGGTGGCGTCGTCTTGCCTCTGTGTTGCATTCAATGAACATGGGAAATTACATTCCTGCCGTCTGTCCTATAGGTAAAGTAGGTTAATGTATTATATTATTGAGGGAGAAGTTGTCCGGGGCTAAAGAAAAAACATCCGGGGCTAAAGCCCCGGATGCCTACCCCAGGCGACGCCCATGGTCATCACAGATGAGCCAAACAGAGTAGAGGATGAAGAAAGGGGAACAGGAGAAAGGACACACAAGAAGGAGATACAACAGACAAGAACGACAATGGAGACAACAATGAACAGGAACACCAGAACAGACAAGAGTCAATGAGTAACATGACTGATTTAGGGACTGCAGATACAGGGCCAAGGCAAGTGAGACACCACTGCTTTCCATCCAGCATGTTTGGCCAGCAAAAGAGATCATTTCAACCGCAAACAGCAAGTGATGAGGGATTATTATTTCCTCCTTCCATCCCTGTTTTCTGTTTAATCTGATTACTAACTACTTCTAATAATTTGACATAGTTTATGATTTAATTGGAAAATGAAGTGTGTTTAAATAATAAACCCGTTTCTGATTCTTTGATTTCTTTTTGACATATGGGTGTTGAGAGATGTATCCATATCTCTTGATGTTGCTCTCAAAGTGCACAAGATTGATGCTTTTGACTTCAGTATTTAAAAAAAGTCTTCCTGGGGGAGCATGGCCCGGCCCCCCCCAGAGGAGGTGAGTTCCCCCCAAAAGAGCACTTTATCTCTGCTTATGTAACTCCGGTGTAGTGTCCCCTCGGCAACAGATCACTCAGAGCTGGTGATTACTTTCCTGCATTTCAATGGACAGCATATAAAAAGGACACGTGAGCTGCATTGCTTAAGAGATCCTCTCATGCTATCTCTTTTACAAAATAACAACAAAACAAAACATCAGTGATCATATAGTGGTAGTATATTTTTCACAAGCAATGTGAAACATTAAACTTATACAAACTGGTGTAGAAAACTCACATACCTGCGTTGATCTCCTGGAGTGTCTCTACTCTTTCTTCTCCACATCTCTTTCCACCATCAGAGATTGCAAACATTTCAGAAACAGCTAGAGGTAGGGGACAAACAACTTGTTCGCTGGGCATGTCAAAAACCTCCCTGCTTTGATCAAGACTTTAGGGAGCCTTTAGCCCCTCTACCAAAGGGACTGGAAAGCAAGCTTTGAACATGCAGTACCTTCTACATGCTGTCATGTTCCAGACACTGCTCTCAACCACTCAGGGCCTGCACACATACCTGCAGAAAGAAACAATTGACTTGGTGCAGGCAGTAGATTACAAAACAGCAGTTGAGAACACACTGAAAAGTTACCGAAGTAACGAGAAAGCACATGAGGTCTATGACAAGACCAAGGCCCTGTGCAATGATCTTGATATTCCCGAAACTGTGACGCAGAGGAAGAAGCGTAGAAACATGGAAGACTTTGTAGTCTAGGCATCATGTGGAGCAATGTGAAACATTAAACATAAATAAACTGGTGTATAAAACTCACATACCTGCATTTCAATGGACAGCATAAAAGGACTCTGAGCTGGGTTCTGGTGCTCAGATTAGCTATTGATGATCACGTTGATAAATCATATAAAACAAATAGCCAATCTCACAAAAAACATGTTGCTGTGACTGTGAGCATTAAACAATTAATATTAAACTAAACAAACACAACAGTACGTTATTGTCCTTATAAAATAAAAACATACATTTTGTCCACCGAGATAATACAGGCACCTTACCCTCAAGAGATCCTCACGTGCTATGAGAATCTCCCACAATGCATTGCCGTAACAAAGCTAATGCAGGCACACGTTTGTGACACCAGATGGCGCAATTGTGTATGTGCGTGTGGGGAGTCTTGCAGTAGAACATTTGACTGTAGCGCCGCCACTGTGGGCTAAGCCCCGAATGTTTCCAGGTCCAGGCGACGCCCCTGGGCTACATACAATTAACAAAGTCATCAGTGGGCTTCCATACATGCTCCAAATACAAAATACAGGTGTGTATAAAGCTCAATGTTTGTCATCATGTTTCATGCTTTTACTGAAGAGACATTATTGTGTGAGCTTGGTAAGATAAAATAAGTTGTTTAAAACATAAATGGAATTAAACCCTGAATGTTCAGGAAAATATTAAGAGAAATATGTCTGCTGCAATAAAACGCACCTTAAAATAGAGTTTAATTTCCCCTCTTTATATCTCTATAATTTCGCAGCCAACACGTTATATTAAAAAAAATGATATATTAAATATAATAGATGTCATTTTAAATATGAAATCTTATATCTATTGAAATTAATATGTCAAATAAACCGCAGCAGGTAGTCTCGTCTCCTGGCGACCGCGGCACCGGAAGTGTGCTTTTATGAAGCCGTTAAAAGCCAGTTGACGTCGGCTAGCTAACGTTAGCTGTCAGCCAGGTTCAGTCATTGTGCATGATGGAGGTGACACGCCAAAGTAAGTAACCAGCCACATTTTGCTCTCATGATTCATAGCACGCTACATACACCTAAATATCGCACAACAGAGGAGTGAACTGATATGTATTTAAAATGGACAAAACTGGTTTCATTCCGTAGCTTTGTGTGCTGCTAGCTAGCAAGCTAGGTAGCTAGCTGCAAGCAAGGCTGTTATGTGTGCTTCTGTTTGGCTACCACGCTTCCATTGGTATTCATACACTTTCCCTTCTTTACAGATTTTAAAGACAGTTTAAAGACGGTTTACAGTGCGATAGAAGAGGCTGACTTCCTTGCCATCGATGGAGAATTTTCAGGTAACAGTGAGAGTTTTTAGCATGAACTGCGACTTAAATGGTTACAGCTGTGAACATAAGTGGGAGAAGTACTCAGATCTTGCACTTGAGTAAAAGTATAAGTTCCAGAGTGCAGTAAACAAGTACAAATCCTGCATTCAAAATGTTACTCAAGTAAAAGTACTTAAGTATTGGCATCAAAATGTACTCATAAGGCATTCATTGGCTCATATAAGAATAATACAACTTGTGTTTTTAATTCAAAGCTTTATTGTCATATGATTTTATATTTATTGATGCATTAATGTTTATCAAAGGTGGAACCAATTGTTATTACTTTGCATGCTGCTGAGTAGCTTGTGAGTTTACTCCTGGTATAACTAAAGTTGTGTTGATTATATTTCTCATCAAACTAAATCTACAAAGTAAATACATGTAGTGGAGTAAAAGTAAGAGTAGCAACAATTTGAACTACTCAAGTAAAGTTCAAGTTCCTCAAAAGTACTTAAGTACAGTACTATCTACTTAGTTTCTTTACACTACTGGCTGTGAATATAAATGGTGTGTTTATGTTCAGGGATAAGTGACGGTCCTAATGTGAGTGCACTTACCAATGGACTGGACACACCAGAGGAGAGATACACAAAGCTTAAAAAGGTGAGTGGAGTTGATCGTGCACACATTTGTGATGCCTTCTCTTTTCCCTCCATTTTCTAGTATAATCTCATTTTGATCTCTGTTCGCCAGCACTCCATGGACTTTCTGCTGTTCCAGTTCGGCATATGCACATTCACGTACGACCAGGCAAAGTCAAAGTGAGTCACAACTGTTTCACAAATACACAACTATAGATCTGACGTTTCTATTAGCGAGTAAATTAGAAGCCGAGGCAAACCTAGACTTTGGGGAGCCCTGACAAAAGCAGCCTACTTTGGTGAGGCTCAAGAGCACAGCCTTTGTTTCAACATGGTGGGATGCATCATGCACATATTAAGATTAGAAGCCTCTCCAGCAGGACATATGAGATAACAACTAAACTCAGTGTGTTCTGATGAATTAAATAGCCCAAAGTCATGGTGGAAACGCAAAATTCAGATGGCAGGTAACAATTAAGCATATACAAAATATATTGCAGTAAGTGCTCTCATACATTATGTATCGCTTTAAATGTTTTATTCTCCTGTGAATCAACCTTTTCCATTTAATGTTATCCATGTCGACAAACATGGACATCTTTTTTTGTGTTTTTGTTTAATAAAAATAACCTGTAAATATGCACGGGACCATTTTAATAAAACTTGTATGTTTTCCTTCTAGCTAATTAACTGTAAATGGCCTTTTATGGGAGGTTTAGTGATGAATATGTGTAATTTCTAAAATGAGTGACTTGAGCCATACTTAAGATGGATGCATATCTCTAAATGTTTAAATCAAATGGCTACTAACAGACCAAGGCTTTGCACAGATAAAATGTAGGGTTTCACGGCTACTTTTTGCCTGTAGATCTTTACCAGGCTGTGCTTTGGTGTCAAGCAGGTTATTTGTATTCATTTGCAGCTGGTTGAATTATTTTACTAACTCTTATTTTCCTGTTTTCCCTTCTCTCTCTGCAGGTATATCATAAAGCCTTTTAATTTTTATGTATTCCCAAAACCGTTCAACAGGACGTCCCCTGACCTAAAGTTCATCTGTCAGGTGAGGCAGCGATGTTCCTCGTGGTGATTGCATTGCTTCAGTGTGAACTGAGATGAATCCTTTTTAAAAGGGACTATGACTTGGATAGTTTTTAGGTTTCAAAGTTGGTCAAATAAAAGATCATATTTGTCATTTCAGAGTTCCAGCATCGACTTCCTGGCCAGTCAGGGGTTTGACTTCAACAAGGTGTTCTGTCATGGTGAGTAAACTGCAGAGTGACTGTAGCTCCATGCCAAGTCTCTGCTTTGTCATTTCCTCGCCTCTGGATCTTAGCTCGAACCGGGGGTTGTTTTTGTTTTGTTATAAAAGCAGAAACACAACATTTCTTTCTCATCTTGCAATAGTCTAAATATTTAAAGCCAACCTAGTCAGTGTTTCCCCTGGGTTTACTGCCTTGGCAGGGTGCTGCTCCTGGAAGAAAAAACACAAACGGGCAGACAGCAGAGCTCGGGGCAATAATGCAGATGTGTTTGACTTGTTTACACTTTGTTGTTCTCCTCCTTTCCTCCGCTCTTGTCTCTGATTGTGAGTGTGGGGGGGGGGGCCTCAGAAACAGAGCAGAGGGAGAATGTGAATACGCAAAGCAGTGGACACTGAAACATGCACATTGGATAAATAACATAGGCGTTTAGTTTATTTAATAAAAGAGCACATGTTCAATGTGAAAAGTGACTGTGGATCGATTACTTCAGTTGCAATTTGGTGCTATTTATATATATTTTAAATAAAAAAAACACCTTGAATTTTAGGCGGGGCTCCGTTGGCAGGGCGCAGCGCCCCGCCAAGACAATGGTAGGGGAAACACTGCTAGTCCTCTAGTAGAGAGACGAATAAACTAAGATCTTTGTCATTTTCAAAGGAATCCCGTACCTAAACAAGGAGGAGGAGGCGCAGCTGAGGGAGCAGACGGAGGAGAGGAGGAACCAACAAGCCAACGGTATCAATAATCAATCCTTCACCTCCCCGTCCTCCAAAGGCCCAGCACACGTACCTCAGGAACACAAAGACTACATCAACAGGGTGATGTACGTGTCACTCACTTCTCTGTTGCATTTAACGCTTGTTGGTAACCTTTTTTGCATTAGTGTGCATCAATGATGATCACTCGAGTCATATAGTTCTTGAGTGGCTGCTAAGACTAAAAAAAGCTTCCATTTCCCATCATGGCTTTTTTTTATCTGACAACTTACATTTTTGATGTGCTATTGTGTTTAATGTCTTGCAAATCTTTACTTTGCAGTTAGTTCTTGTAAGTTCTTTGTTTTGACCTGTTCGAAGCAGCTCCAGATGTGAATTGGAATAAAGCTATAATTTAATACTTTGCATTAAATGGTAACACTAGGGGTGTAACGGTACCCGTACTGAAATTATTCGGTACGGGCCCTTCGGTTCGGTACACGTGTGTACCACACGAATATAACGTTAAACGTAGGGGTGTAACGGTATCCGTATTCGTCCCGTACCGTCACGGTTCAGACGTCACGGTTCGGCACACGCAGTCACACGACGAATACGCCTTTTTTTTTTAGAGTGGGAACAAAATCTGTCATTCAGGGCAGTATCCACTTCACTATATATAATCCAGGGGGCGGTATTGCGCCTAAAAGCTGTTTGCCAGCCGCCCTTAAACGACAAATGAAGAACAAGAAGAAACACAACAACAAAACGAACAAAATACAAGAAGAAAAGTTAGTATGGCGATTTCAGATAACACACAGGAGCTAGAACTCACCAGCTTCTTTTAAATCAGCTGTGTGGGAACATTTCGGGTTCCCTGTGGACTACAATAACGGTGGAGTGCGAGTGGTGGATCGGACGAGGACGGTGTGTCGCCGTTGTTCTACAGTGGTGCGGTATGCTAATGGAACACACGCCAAACATGCTAAATCATATCAGAAGGCATCACCCAGATTTGCCAATCACCGGAGACCGGCAAAAGACAAGTTCAACAGCTGATCCCCTCTGTCTTTAAGAAGCCAAGAGACATGAAGCCGAGAGACCAAAATAAATAACGGAAGCTTTTGGCATATGTTTTTCAACGACTTTGCGCTCTTGAAACACGTTCTTATTATTTATGATGTCATATTTTCAAGACATTCTTTTAGTTTTACAGCTTGATGAAACCTTTTTGTTTGACATCAGCCATTATAGATAATATGGCCATCTGAGTGTACTGTATGGTTTGTTTTTAACTGTTTAATACAGTTAATTATTCAAAATGTCAGAGTTCCTTATTTTTAAACTGAAACTTGCACTACTGTTCAAACATAAATAACAACAAACCTGGAATCATGCATTTGGGACTTTTTTTTGCTTTTTCTTGTTGTACCGAACCGTGACCTCCAAACCGAGGTACAAACCGAACCGTGACTTCTGTGAACCGTTACACCCCTAGTTAAACGTGAACAACTTGTTGGAAGTAATCTCAGGTCGCAGCATTCAGTGTAATTTGCTCACATTGGGTTCAACGTGTCATAGAGCGACCAAGTCATTTCATTGGAACGTGAGGCATGAGAGCTGGTCAGAGGGATGCGTTCAAATGTAGTCAGTAATTTGAGGAACTGTTGAAATGGCGAACGCAGATAAAGTTGAGCTCGAAAATCCTCCAGCATCTTTGAAGTCTCCGGTTTGGGAACATTTTGGTTTCGCAGTTACGTACAAGGATGACGGACAAAGACAGGTGGACCGAACCAAAGCTGTTTGTCGGCATTGTTCAACTAACATTGGTTACGCGGCTGGCAATACATCAAACTTGCACACTCTTGAAAAGGCATCACCCGAACGTGAATATCACCGGTACCAAAAGAAAAAAGACTGAAGTGCAAACCCAACTCCCGCTAGCATGTAAGCCTCCACCACTCGCAGAGAGTTCAGACCGAGCCAAAGCTATTACAAACACCAAATATCCTTATGTTGCCATGTTAGCAAAGCGCTACCTGGCTGTATCTGCTACCTCTGTCCCTAGAGAGAGGGTGTTCTCCACAGCAGGAGACATTGTTAGTGCCAGCAGATCTGCCCTTTCGGCAAGCAATGTGGACAAGTTCATCTTTCTTTAAACAACATGAAAATACAATGACAAGCAAGTCATGTGAAACTGGCTGCTTATTATTTCAGTTCATCGAAATGCTGCACCTTAATGTTTATTTTATTATATTTTGTATTTATTTGAGTGAATACATTATTCACAGTTTAATAATAATAAAAAAATATATATATAAGTTATGATGTTAATTTTTTCTGCTGAACCGTGACCTAAAAACCGAGGTACGTACCGAAATGTTTGAACCGTTACACCCCTAGGTAACACTTACATTTTAAACTGTACATGGTCCCTTCTTCTGAAAAATAATTGTAAAGGTGTTTTACTTGATCAATGTTATTTTCTATTATAAATTGCTTTACGCACGCTGCATAATGAGACCCTTTTTGTGTTTTGATCATTTCTACCATTTCCCCCCCAGAGCGAAGGTGGAGGGTCTCTTCACGAGCTCAGAGAAGACTTTGGACCTGGAGCCATGCACTGGGTAATCTAGCTAAACTAACCCTAACCTACATGTTCATTTTGTGTTTTTATTTTCATTACTTACATTTTATATTTCCTTAACAGGTTTCAGAGAAAGCTGATCTACCAGACACTGAACTGGAAGTGAGTCACTCAACAGTTTTGTAATTATTGTGGGTGTGTTTGAATAAGATTAAGATGTGTGGTGTTCTCACAGGTTTCCCAAGGGGCTTCATGTAGAAACTGTGGAAACAGAAAAGGTAAGAATGTGTTTTTTTTAATTAAACCAATTTTGCCATTTTTTGTTTTGTATATAAGGTATTTTTTAAATATTGACTGTGTGCGCAGAAGGAACGGTTCATCCAGGTCTGCAAAGTAGATGATGAAGAGAGGAAGAGGAGGGAACAGCAGAAACTGGAGAGGGAGCAGGTAGGAACTGTCAGGAGCATCTTGAACATTAGGATGCAGCCGTTTTACGTCCCATCTCATAATTCTTTACCTTTACAGGAGGAGGTAAACGACGCCGTTGGCTTCTCCAGGGTCATCCACGCCATCTCCAAATCTGTGAGTCTACCGCAAGGGTTTTTCTGTCGAACTGCACATTTCTATGGGATTTGTTTTTTTGTATTTATTTGAACTATAACTCTTAAAACGGGGGATAGCAAGTTCGAGTCCCACTCAGCATGTTGTTGTGTCCCTGAGACACTTCACCCCATATTGCTCCTGTGGGGATTGCCCACAGTACTGAATGTATGTAAGTCGCTTTGGATAAAAGCGTCTAACAAATGACATGCAATGTAAAAAATGAGAATTGACTAATCGGCAGTTCAAATGCATTACTCATGTTTAATTTCATCATTACTGGTCACTTTTGCTCTAACGGGGATTCTTTCTGTTGCTAAATCAAGTTTTTACACTAAATGTGGAATGAACCCTTTCCATCCGACACACAGGGTAAACTCGTGGTTGGCCACAACATGCTGTTAGATGTGATGCACACCATCCAGCAGTTCTACCTCCCTCTGCCAGAGGTAAACAACCCGAGCTAGCTGTTTACACATTTTCTGTTTTTGCAGGAATGTCAATTATTCATTATGTTTGCCAATGCTCTTTCCTTCAGGATCTTCCAGACTTTAAAGAGGTCACAATGTGTGTGTTCCCGAGGTAATAGCCCTCTGCTTTGCTTTTATATTGTTGAAATAACAGACACTTTTCTGTACTTTGTTCTTTAACGCTTAAAATTATATTTCCACTTGCAGACTCCTGGACACAAAGTTGATGGCGTCCACTCAGCCGTTTAAGGTAAATGATCTCAGTCAGTGCTGAAGCAGACAGAAGCACCCATATGTTTTTGGTGATTTGAGAAACCTATATGTATATAAGCCCTTACATGCTAAACTCGTATTGCACTTTTGGTAACGAGCATTGTCCACATCGAGACGAGTAAAGTTTAACCACACCTCGGAGCGCGTTCTCTCTGCCATCTCCTCCGTGTGTGTTGCTGCATGTAGCAGCTGCGTGTGCGTAAACGGCCCGGCGGAGAGGGAGAGGGTCAGAGGCGCATTTTTTTTGCATAATGTTTGTGTAGCAATAATACATATGACATATATTTTTTACATGTCTCCAGTACCGATAAAAAGACCGATAGTGTCGGCGCTTAACGGTACCACGGTCTTTAATAATTCAGCCCCGGGGCCCGTTTGATACCGGGGCTCGTTACCCATCCCTAGCTGTAATGACAAGATAACCTCCAGAATCTTTGCACAAATGGATTCAGGTGTCAGAGCACCAAGCAAAGAAGTAGCACTAAAGCAATTCAACTGAGGCTATTGTATTACATCTTTGGAAAAATGTGTAAAAACGAATTAACAAAGTTTATTTGACTTTGTGTTTTAGGAGCTGATCAACAACACATCTCTGGCAGAGTTGGAGAAGCGAGTGAAAGAAGGCCCCTTCAAGTCCCCACTAGTCGGTAAGTAAACACGCATACATTTATTTATCTGAACCTCTCTTGACCTACGATAATCCTGTGACACATATTTTTCGTCTTTGAACATTCAGAAACGGCAGAAGGCTTCCACAGCTACGACACGGGCCAGGAGCAGCTCCACGAGGCCGGGTACGACGCCTACATCACCGGCCTGTGTTTCGTCTCCATGGCCAACTACCTGGGTAACGCACGCACACAACCACACTGATCCCGTTCGGGGGGGGGGGAAAAGGCTGAAGACATGTGGTTTGACTTGTTCTGATCAACTCTCTCTACAGGATCGTTTCTGACTCCGCCCAAACCACACATCTCTGCTCGCTCCAAACTAATCGATCCTTTCTTCAACAAGTAAGAGATGAACTCATGTACTGCATTTGCTGCTTTCTCATATTTCTCTGGTTTTATTAATCGATATCCCTTTTTTTTTTCTAGGCTTTTCTTGATGAGGATAATAGATATTCCCTACCTCAACATCACAGGACCAGATTGTGAGTATGTCCCTCATGTTGTATAAAAATGGACATTTCTGCACCAAGATTTGTGGCAGCATTCTCTAAAAAATATATTAAAATGCAAAGAAAAGCAGCAAACATAGATGACTACTACACCATTTTAGATTACTGTTATAAAAGGATGCAATGTGCCTTTTGGTGAAACACAAAATGTTAACATTACTTCAAATTATACCCCAGGGCTGTGAAAACACAATCAAACGGTTTCCTATTGATTTGTTAGCCTGCCAGGGCACCGACACCCAGCTGCACACACACACAGACATGCAGACAGACACACAGACACACACACATTTACACTTCAAACTAAATGAAATGCACTTGAAGTAAACACACAAAACCACTCAAAATACACGCAAAAATACTAAACATACACGCATGAATTACTTAAGGCGAGACACCCCAGGTGAATAGGGTAATTTTTTTAACTTAAAGGTATCAGCTATAAATTTCTCCAGTTAATTACTTACAATAAGGCAATTGTCTTTTGTATTACAAGTTTTCTGAAATAGCATGTTTAAATATGCAAATTACCCATTATCTCATTAAATATGCACATATTTTAACACATTTCAGGAATCGAAATCTGAACTTTGGATAAAGCCAGGTTCAAACTTCTTGTTTCATTTTGTAGTCATATTAGTATCTAAGGCTTTCACAGAAGGGATTTTGGATATCTCTTTTTATCACTCCATAAATCAGAAAATACTGTCAACAGCCCTAAAATATCCATTTTCGCCATGTTTCTAGGTATAAATGTTGTATAATTCAGGCTATGAATGATATATGAACAAACCCTTCTGTAAAAGCCTTCATAATATTGATAGGAATATAACTGGAAGGTTTGGTGTATGTGCGTGCTACTGAAGTTGACATTTCGAACTCAGAGTAGGAGAAAAAACTCATTTTGAGAAAACGACCTTTAAAGATTGCAGTGAGGCGCTAGCTAAACCCTCCTGTTCTTTGGATGACAGCTTGCGCATCGACGCACTCTATGAAGGTATTTCATGTTCGGGGTCATTTGTTTTTTGTATAACCTTGCTTCGTGCAAGTGACAATTGTTGTCGTCTTCTCTGAACGTTTTCGCCGTTCTTTTGCCATTTTGAGATTTCAATTTCTAGCGGAAAGCTAACCAGGAAGTGTTTTAGCACACCACGTGACGCATCTGAACGAATCACGTTGTCAGAAATTGACACCAGCCAATGAGATTTTGTTTCTTGGTTTAAGACCCTTTTGTACTTTCACGATTGGTTGCTGATACAAAGGAAATGACCATATTTGAATCCGATGAGATTGTGCAGGAGAGACACAGCTTTCCAACGATATCTCTGTTTACATGGTGCACACAGCGGTCGCGGTACTTTATGTTACGTTAGAATGCTAACTTTTGGTGAATTTAGGAGAAATCTACAGACGCAAATAGACAAACTATAGTAAAATAAACACTTAAATGTGTATTTTGTAAGTTTTCCTTCCAAAAGCCTGAAAGAAAACATGTTATAGAATCAAAATAGCTCAAAATTAACCAGTACTTGAAAAACAATGTTTTTGCCTGCCGTGTCTCGCCTTAAATCTCACCGTCATTTGTTGCCTTTCCCCATGTTCCTACAGTGACGCCTAAAAGAGACCACGTCCTGTATGTGACCTTCCCTAAAGAATGGAAGACCAGTGACCTCTACCAGCTCTTCAGTGCCTTTGGTAAGAGTTGATGTTTAACCTGATTACACTGCTCTCACACACACGACCCATTGTGTATCACTAACGCTCAGCTTCTATGATCCTCCCAGGGAACATCCAGGTTTCCTGGATAGACGACACGTCAGCGTTTGTGTCTCTCAGTCAGACGGATCAGGTACAGATAGGTGAGTTTCATCCTGTTCCGACTGCACATCGGCTAAGACAAATAAAATACAAATCTTCTGTTTGTGGCACTAATAGTTAACAGCTGTTACAGGGGGTCCGCGGGGTCTTAAAAAGTATTAAAAGTTGATACATCAATTTAGCAAAAATTAAGGCTGTTAAAATATTAACCGGCATTTTCCAAGGTATTACATTTCGTAGCTTGTTTTCAAGAAGTATATACATTGTCCAAAGAGGTTGTATTCTACAGTGTGCCTGAATGTAATCATTGCGTAGGTGTGTAGTGTGATTCTGTGTAGTTTATTTATGGCATCCCGTTGGATTTGACGTCATCTGAACAGGACATCGCACGCTCACTGCTTGATAGCGCGCGAAGGTCCGTTTACGCCGGTTGTTAAGCAACATCGTTATGGGGAAATGCAAGTCTGCGTCCAAATGGTTGGAAGATAAGGAGGAAGGACAATCAATACTGTATATAGTCAAGTGTGTAACCGGTTAGAACTGGAAGTGGCGATGAGGTCTTAAAATGTATGGAAAGGGTCTTAACCTGTTGAACCCCATCGACCCGCCCCGGGTGGAAAAATGCATCCCTTGCAGGAAACAGCGTCTGAGGGCTTCTTAATATTTAATAAACTATGAATGTTTTATATCCATGTATCGGGAAGAAACTCGGCTAACTGATCTTTTTATTTTTTTGCCAAAAAAAACACAAGGCTAATGCTGAGCCTCTGAATTAGCCACGAGCGAAAATATGCTAACGGTGGTTGCACAGAAACTCACTCATAACACCCTTATTACTTATCGTAACTGCACATCCAACATATCGAATAGCATCGTGAGAAGACACAGAACCGATGGGTAGCTAGATCACTCCATGATAAGAACTCGCGACTTTATAAACAGACATCACAACAAAAGTTGTCTTCAATGGCATTAAAACGATAAAACGCTGCTGAAGTTAATCCGATGTGTCTGTCACTTTGAAATTATTTCTGATAATCCATCAGCAATAAACCTACTTTTAAGATTTCAGAGCGTGAGACAGGTTTCGCTTCAGACAAACTGCATGCGCATAGCCCCACTTCACAATGGTAACATTGGTGTGTATGTGAAAATTCCCCTTCAATTCTATTGGCTCTAACGGTTAAAAAGAGATGTCAATCACAAAAATCGACCAATGGGTTCCAGAGAAACGACAAACGCCCATTTCCACCCAAATCACCCCAGAGATGGAGTTTTTTTTGCTAAATCTCTCTAAAAAGCTCAAATGTCACTTGTTTTGCATCAATCTTGATACAGGGTACTTATTATATGTTGTACTTTGGATTCCTGTTGGGTTCAGAATTCCAGAAAAGACAGACAACTTCTAAGTTTAACTATTTTATTGTAAAGAGAGCAAAAGATATATTCACTTGGCCAAGGACTCATCACGTCTTTGGGAATGGCAGCAAAGCTGTAATCTGTAACCACCACCAAATCCGTCAAGAGCCTCGAACCTCGTGCGACAATACCTTTTATTACACAGGGCGTTGCCCTTACATTTATGATTGGTCAAGACTAGCTGAAGAGATACCACGGTTTAGACTTGGTTCTCTTTGGTTGGTGCGCAGACTCAGATAGTCTCTTGGCAACACGATCCTCCAATCAGCATTCGGCCGGCCTCTGGAAGTCTACTCTGGCACCATCATACTAATTTGTTTTCTCGAACGTTTCTTCAGATATATTGGAAAACCATAATGTTGCTTCCTAGCTTTGCGGGGGAGCGCGGCTCCCATACAAAGTGAAGGCCGGTGCGATGTGCTGTTCTGACTACCTCTTTGTGTTCTCTCAGTCTCTGCACTCGACCTTGCTACTTTCAATATTGCAAGCTAAACTTTCTTCTGACTATTCCCCTCGTTGGTATCTAACCCATCAGAACCTGGGATTAGTGATTGTGTCTATTTATTCTATAGTCATAGCAATCTCATGAGCACAATAAGCATAATGTAATAATAACAATCAGTCTTGTAATATTATATAAAAATAGACTCCACATTCCTAAAGCTTTTAGTCTACTAACCCAGTGGTTCTCAAAGTTTTTCTGTCAGGCCCCCCCTTGAAGGAAAAAAAAGTCGGGCCCCCCCCAACACAAGTCAGGCTCAGTGGCGGCGCCAGAGATTTATTTTGGGGGTGCTGTGGGGTAGCTTGACGTTTCATAGAGGGTGCTCAAACATTTAGGGTTTCCCATTAATGTACCGGTCGCTACAGTGGCATTTTCTACTGCAACACTCCCCACACGCATATACACAATGTACCCGCGACTGTTACAATGAAGGCTCGATAATCAGCTCACGGCATATAGGTGTAAGCAGGGGTAAAGTGCTATTTTTATAGGTGGTATGTGGACCTCACATAGGGGGGTCCAGGGGCAAGCTCCCCGGGAAGATTTATTTTTAAATATTGAAGTTAAAAGCATCAATCTGGTGCACTTTGAGAGCAAAATGAAGAGATCTATGGATACCTCTCTCAACACCCATTTGAAACAGAACTGTAAACAGATTTACTTTTTCTTTATGGATATTTTACAAATCACCCTTTTAAACTTTATTTTTTTTACTGCCATATAGTATTTCATACCTGTTTTTCATTTATTCTCTTTTTTTTAAATAACTATAATGATCATATAAACGTGTGCCTCGGAAATAATTGTTTACATTAATGGTGACCAAAACGTTTGAGACCCACTGAGATAACACTGAGAGAGTCCTTTAGCTCACTGAGTCTCTCAGTCTGACAGGAGAGGACTCTCCTCCACTTTGTTGTTGAAAAAACTCCTTATATCCGTTAACGTAGCTCGCTAGCACCGGAAGCTAACAACAATGATCTCCGGTACCGGTGCGCTCTCTTTTTCGCTCGCGCACTCACAGAAACTGGCTCGTTCCACACACACACAGAGAGCCGAGCTTTAATGAAACACAGAGACCCAGACGTAATAGTACTGCATCATATTATTTTCGAATCAATAATTTTTCAAATTATGATTTTTTTTATTTTATTTTTTTATTTTTTAAATTATTTTTAATAACCATTTTTCCTCCTGGTCTCTCGCGCCCCCCCTGTCATGCCTTTGCGCCCCCTAGGGCGGGCGAACCCCCCACTTTGGGCACCACTGTACTAACTCATCATTCAAGGGTAGTTTTCACTAGAAGTAAAAAATACAGACGGACACTATAATTTACAGTTTTTTTTACTATGTTCAATCTGAATTTTATTTAAAATAAAAAACATCTATATTGATTCTGATTTTTCTACATCCAACTCACAGGTTTATCATTACTTTGAGAAAAAAGATTATTAATTTTCCCCTTTTTAGAAGTGTAGTTATGGTCATTTGTTCTGGGAATGTCATTTTCGAGCCTGAGACCGGAAAAACAGGCTTGGGGTCTAACAGGTTAAAAGGTATTACATTTGACTTCAGGATTCCTGCATATACCCTGTGTTATGTCACTTATAGGTAACAGCTATTATGTCACTTATAGGTAACAGCTATTATGTCACTTATAGGTAACAGCTATTATGTCACTTATAGGGAACAGCTTTCGAACACAACACAAGGGTTAAAGTGGCTAATTGATTGCTAATGTACTTGCAGGGTTTTAGTTGTACACGGTACAATGCCTGAATCTAATAAAAAAGTGAAATACACACACTGGAATTGTTAAATGTTGATGCAATGATCTGGTCCCGCAGCAATGAACACCAGCCGCTACGCAGAGAGCTACAGGATCCAGACGTACGCAGAGTACATCAAGGGGAGGCAGATCAAGGAGAAGGTGGAACAGACACCCAAAAGTTGGGGAGAGGACAGCTGGACCAAACCAAACTACACCCCCGCTACCTCTGCTGGGTTTGGATACCCCAGGTACACCCATGCTGCGGTTTCAACAGCACATTCAGTGCATTTACCGCAGATAAGTATCTGCAGTTTTAATGTATATTGATGCCTTTTTTATGGTGTTTCTGCTCCAGGAAGCGCAGCATCAGCCCCGCTCTGGGCGAGCCGGGGACCGGAGACGCAGCCATGACGGACGGCTGGAGGGACTACGCCTACCCCGACAGCACGGGCAGCAAGAAGATGAAGACTGATGGTGGGTGACGCACGCTTCCTGCTGCAGTTTGGTAACATGAAGCCGTTTTCCCCAGAAAAGTGTCTTTTTTTTTTTTTTTTATACCAATTTTGCAACATTTATAAAGGTGACATTACGTTTATTGAGTAAATACCTTTTACAAAGAGTTCCCACGGGTGCTTGAATCCTCGAAAATGTTACACTTAAAGGGGTATAAATCAAGGCTTCTGATGTGTTAAATGTGTACAGAAAAAGGCACAGTGCACTTGATGTCGAAATTTAAACAATATTTATTTTGTCTAACGTTAGATAATGGGCTTTATCCTGCTGTCTGCCCGTGTTTCTCTTTGTTTTTACGCCACCTGCCTATAAAGCATAAAAGTAATTAACCTTGATCTGTGTCTCAAACTATGCTGTGTTGTGTCCTTTGAATTTAATGTGAAAGTGTGGCAATTCTCTTTATAATATTAACATCATTAATGCAGACACTTTATTTATTTTGTTGTCACTAATGGCGCTTTTCCACTGCAGCGTGTAGCACGGTTTAAGCGTGCCGTGCCAAACCTGGCCCGTTTTTGGTTGCGTTTCCACTAGGCGTAGTTCCGGCTAACGGGTGCTTTTTCACAGTTTTTCTGGCCCCATAAAATCGTGGTTCTTTCCGGGCCAACAACCAGGCTGAGTCGGGCTGAGTATGCTAAACTAGAGAGAATCGCTGGCAAGGGGGCTACAACTACAACAAAATGAACATATTTGACCGTGATTTAATTGTAATACACGTTTCAAAAATGATTCCGAAGTAACAACATACTGATACCGGTTAGTAAAAACCATGAATTAATGCTTTGACAAGTCTGCAGACAGACGGCAGGCGAAAAACCCTTTTTAAAATGCGTGTTTTCTAAATGGAGCTTGGCTGAGCTAACGTTGTAAACGCTCCGACCGTCCACACTCACAACAACGGCCTATTCAGACATAAATAAACCAGCGACTGTATTCTCCATGACACAGACAGTCTGTGGTTTGTACTTTAACTTTTGTCTAGTTTCTGAACAGATATGAGGAGCTGTGAGCTCTGAGGGCTAACGGCTGATGTTGGTTTTGTGTTTCGCATTGAAAATTACGTCACGGCTCCGCCTACACTGCATTACTATAGTTACTGCCCCAGTTCCTAAACTGTAATAGAAACGCAGCATAAAGTGAGCCTGGCCTAACGATACCGTACTAAGCCGTGCGAGGCCCTGCAGCGGAAATGTGTATCATGTCCTGTTATTTTAAATGAAGGCTCTCATGCATTGGTTGTTGTTGTGATTTTTAGACAAAAGTGGAAACGCAAACGCCATCGAGAGCAAGACCTCAGAAGGATGGCTAAAGACGGGGTAAGTGAAGTTGGGGTTAATCATTTAAAGTGTTAATGTTCTGTTTGTGGTGATTAAAGTCTCTTAATGGTTGCTGCGCCCTGCAGAGATGCATCAGACTCAGCGGGGTCGAGTCCAATCCCGGAGGAGGGAGAGGAGGAGCAAGAACAGGAAGAGGAGGGGGAGGAAGAAGGAAGTCCTGAAGGCAACGATACTGAAGGGACGGTCACCTGGCAACAAGCCCCAACGTCCCAGGGGAAGAAAGGGCAAAAGAACAAGAAAAAGTCTAAAGGTGAGACTGAGGGTCTTCACACTGAATCAGGCTGACTCTGACTCTAACCCCTTTCCTCATAACTTCAGATCAATTCTACAAAGTCTGGCTTGCCTGGAACAAAAACGTATAAACAAATATTTTGGTCTCTTTGCGATGGCGACACTAGAAAGAAAAAAAAACGCGGTGCTAGCTGACATTTTTAACACTTATTTCAACTGTAGTTTAAACGGGTATGGTCGAGAAGAATGTCACTTTGTGTTCACAACAGTTTTTCCTTCTTCTGCCACAACTACAGGATTAATTGTCTTTTTATACCTTTCTTAAATAATCAATGTGTTTCTTATATCGATGAGGCACTGTTTATCATCCATTTGTATAGAGAATAGATATTTGTGGATTGTTTGAAACCTGTTGACGTGATTACAAAAACATTCTTCATAAATACCTTTTTCACATGTGCGGCTTTCACACCAGCGCTTTTCCCTTTCTAGCTCCGAGCGGGAGCTTTTCTGGTTCAGCTCCGGTTTCCCTTTTCTGCTCCCGCTCTGTTCACACCGCCCAGAGCCCGACTGGTGCTGCCGCTGCTGCGTCATGACGTCACCGTTTACATCACTGATTTGCTCCCCAACGGCATTACGGCGCTCACAACAACGGGGAACTGCGTCGGGTCGATGATCGTGTTGCTTTTAATCACACGAAGCCAGAATAAATTGAATAACGACTTCTCCAACCTTATGCTTTTCTCCAGAGTGCCGTGGTTCATTGTTTATTAATGTGTTTCTGCAGCATTTACCGACCGCTGCAGTGTTGGCTGCTCTTCCACGGGAGTTTATTCTCCTCCGTTAGCTCCCGGTTAGCTCACACTGCAGCGGCCGCTCTAAAGTATTCACTGTCCGACTCACACAAGCAGCTGATACATATCCCCAGTTCCCCTTAGCCTAAGTGAATGTGTGTCCGTCTGAATTGACGCTTTTTGGTATCACAACAATGTTATGAAAGTTTCTCTGGTATAAAATGGGCGATGTTAGCATAGCAACCGAAGCTAAACTGACTACTTGCTATTGCTATCCTATTGTGGCATAAACCGTTTTCTACAGGCACATTTTACCGGCATATTTTTATTATGATTCTACTTGTGATAGTCGGACACGACAACCTGTGCAGCCCATGTATTGATTCCATCCGATAGCTGCTATAATACAAAACAACACGTCTGCCTCTCTCCACAATGATCAATAACAGTGAACGGATGGTCAAAGTAAGGTACAAATAAACAGAATCACACGAAGCCTGGTTAGTGTTGCCTGACTTTATAAAGTGTGTTTATAAGCACTACTGCTTGTAGGCAGGCATGACAGTCGACCCATGTTCAGGGGAGGTGGGTTTAGTTTCCTGCACGCCTCGACGTAAGAGAGACGTAAGCGACGCCAGCTCTTAGCTCCGAAGCTCTTGCCTCTAGACCGACAATTTTTTGGAGCTGGAAGTGAACCGGATTCTGGAACTAAGAGGCGGCGCCGCTGCGGTTTGAACAGGTTCCGAGCCGGAGCTGAAAACGCGTTGGTGTGAAAGGGGCAATGAAGGATAATTGTATTTCGGAGCTAAAAGTTTTCAATTGCATATTAAGCCAAGACATTTAATGATTTTTCCGAAACCTATTAATGAAGGGAAACTCAGCCAAAATTCTTCAAAAGCTTTAATGTAATCTTGCAATTTTTGGATGCTGTATGTATATTTATATATTTGTTCAACCTTCTGTGCCTCTTATGTTAGGGACTGAATCCTCGACGTCGCTGTTTGACGTCCCAGAGGTGTGGTAGCGAGAGGAGAAGTGAGGAGGTCTCTGTCCCACATGGAGCTCTGGCTCAGTCTTTCTCAGCACTTGGGTCGCTCTCCTGACACGCTGTTCACCACCAGGAGCTGTTCACCACCAGGAGCTACGCACCCCCCCCCCACATTAATTATTTGACTCGACAGCTGCGGACAGCGTGTCCAAAGCCAGCAGCCGAGCTTCTGACTGGACGATTGAAGGAGCGAACACAAGCCATAACCCAACAGCTGCCATATTTCCATCCATCTTCTACCAGAGGAGCAGGAAACTCTTCTCACTATAATCCTAAAAGCTCCAGGAATGATCATTTATTCAGACTGGACTCTGCCACGCTGTCACTACGAAACCTGTTTTTAACCACAGTCTCCTCCTATCAGTCTTATATTTTGTGAGTTGTGCATGTGAGGATTTAAAACACCACCGTCAGGTCCTGTAGTTTACACCGTCTGGGTTATTTAGTATTTTAAAGCTGTCCACTATTTTGTTCCCTTTTTTTTAAAGAAAAAACAAGTTCTGTCAACTACCCCAGTTTTATTCAAACATATATAAGCTTATCAATGTGATGTGTATTGTTGGCGGCACTTTGACCTTTGGCAAGAGGTGCTTGTTTTGTACAGAATTGTTCTTTACCTTTATTTTTTTGTTTTGTAAACGTGTCAACCTGCAACAATGTCAAAGTATGTTCCGGTGTAAACGTTAATGAGACGTATACATTTTTGTAAAACAAAGTTTAAAAGTACTTAAAATATTTCCTAAAAAGGGAGAAAATTAAAGGCTGTTTCTTAGTAACTCTGTTTTCTGTCTTTTCTCGTCCCACACACACAATATTCCTACTCGCGTTAAACGTCGGGAGTTAAAATAATCTAATGTAAAAATGTCCTTCCAATTTTTCACTCCCAGACTTTTTTTATCATAGCAATTACCTGGCTCCATGGAAAGCTGTAAGCTAAGAAGTTCTAAAGCAGCGGTTCCCAACCTGTGGGCCGTGGCCCCTAGTGGTCCGTGAAGGCATTGCAAGTGGGCCGCAAAATTATTTTTATTTTTTTGTACAGGCTAAAGTCTCAAACATGGACATAACAATAACATATAGGAGATGACATTCCCACCTCAGACAAAAACAGAAGAAATAAAGATTCAGTCGGTAGGATCACTTCAACGTTTCACAAACAAACCACCTCAATTCAATTCAAAACCTTTATTTATCCAGGTAAAATCCCATTGAGATCAATGATCTCTTTTTCAAGGGAGACCTGCAGCAGTAGGTTCCACAAGAAGACAAAAAAACATAAACAACAGAACAACAAAAGGACATCATACAGCAAAAATGTACAGGGATTACAATTTACATATTTAACCACAAGTACAGGTACCAACAGCATCTGATTTTGTAGCATCCAACCGAGCTTTAAAAACATGTAGTGGTACTAGCTTGGTAATTTTCCATTCTTTTTGCAGACTGTTCCATGTTAGTGGAGCTGCATATCTAAAAGCTTTCTTCCCTAAGACAGTCCTAGCACTTGGCACATTTAATAAAACCACAGCATGCGATCTCAGGCAATAAGTACTTTCAATTCGCAGAGAGATCAGGGAGCAGATATAAGATGGTAGTTTATCCAACATGGCTTTGTAAATGAAAAAGTACCAGTGACTGAGCCTCCGTACAGTAAGTGATGGCATAACCGCCTTGGTATACAGGGTACAGTGATGCGTAAGTGCTTTACAATTTGTCAAAAATCTCAGTGCACTGTGATACGCAGCATCTAACTTGCTCAGGTAATTGGCAGGTGCATTCATATATAACAAATCACCATAGTCCAGCACAGGTAAAAAGGTCACAGTGACTAGCCTTTTCCTGGCCTCAAGCGAGAAACGGGACTTATTTCTGTAAAAGAAACCTAGCCTAACCCTCAGCTTTTCAAGCAGGTTATTTACATGAAGTTTAAAAGTGAGACAGTCATCAAGCCAGATACCCAAGTATTTGTAACAGGTAACCACTTCAAGTTGTATTTCTTGCGTAGTTACAATATCCAAAGCAGTCTCTGGTGTATTTTTAGCTTTAGCTTTAGAAAAGAGCATTACCTTGGTTTTATCCACATTTAAAAGAAGCTTAAGTTCAGCGAGCTGAGTCTGAATAATGTTAAAAACAGCCTGTAATTTAACAACAGCCTCGTTAATCGAGGGACCTGCACAATACATAACGGTATCGTCCGCATAAAAATGTAAAGTTGCTCCTTCGACATTTTCACCTAAACTATTAATATAGATAGAGAATAATAGCGGACCTAAAACAGAACCTTGAGGAACACCATTAGTGATGTTTAACCACTCAGAAGAGAGCCCATCAAACTGAACACATTGGGATCTTTCAGAGAGGTAGTTTACAAACCAACCCACTGCATGGCTGGATATGCCAATACTGACCAGCCTCTGCTTCAAAATGCGATGATCGACGGTATCAAAAGCTTTGGATAGGTCAACAAATAGAGCTGCACAACTCTGCTTATTATCTAAAATACTCGTAATATCATTTATCACTTTCATTGTGGCAGTGATGGTGCTATGTTGCTTTCTGAAGCCTGACTGATGTTTAGACAGGATGTCATTTTTACATAAAAACTCCTTTACCTGTTCACTCACTAGGCGTTCAAGAACCTTGGCCAGAACTGACAATTTAGAGATGGGTCTATAATTGTTTAATAAGGTGGCCTCCCCTCCTTTTAGTAGTGGCAGGACATACGCTGACTTCCATACTTTTGGGATTTTGTTCGTGCTGAGGGAGAGGTTAAAAAGAGTAGTAAGAGGTGGAGCAATAAAATCTGCAGCTATCTTTAAAAAGAAAGGTTCTACGTTGTCCGGGCCAGCCGGCTTTTTAGGATCTAGCTTGGTTAAGACTTCACGAACAACATCAACAGTAAAAGGAGTAAAACTGAAGGGGTTTTCCAGACCACATTGTTCAGAGTCACCGACTGTGGTGTTCACAGAAGCAGAATTAGAAACAGAATGAAACAGAGAGCCACAGGACACAAAATGCTCATTAAAACAATTTAGTATGGTGGTCCTGTCCGATATAGTGCCAGATACTGTGGTAAGGCACGGAGGTAGCTCATTACGGATATCACCGGTGGATATCGATTTTATGGCTTTCCAGAATTTTCTAGGGTTGTTCAGGCTCTTTGTGGTAACTGACAGATAATACTTAGATTTAGCACTTTTGACATGTGAAGTGAAGCTATTTCTTAGCTGCCTAAAACGCAGCCATTCTACATCTGAGCCTGAATTCCTAGCCTTTGCCCAGGCCTTGTTTCTCTCATGTAGGAGAATAGATAATTCAGCAGAAAACCAAGGATTGTCTCGTCCCTTCACTCTAAATTTACGCAGGGCTGCATGTCTATCTATAATTTAACCAACCAATTAAGCAACATGGCAAGCATATGTATTGATCCTTTAATCCCACTCTTCGTTAGAGCTCATTATTTCCTATTTCATGGCGTGTTGAGCCTTTGATTTTTGTGGCAATTTTTTTAATTGTATTTTTAATCTACTCTTCAAACCCCTTAAATTAAGATTACTCCTTGATTGACTTTAAAAAATATGTATTTTAGCCAGAAGAATAGTTGTATTTATTAACTGTGTGGTCTTCATCTAAAAGCCCAAATAAAATATTAAAGGGTGTAAATTCAATATTTCTGCCAAATAATTTGCAAAACATGATTTGTGTGGAAACAGATTTTTATTTTGTATTATTTGAACCTCCTTTCTCTTTCTCGATCCTCCTTAGCAACGGTCATTACAGTCCTTGACAGCGGTCTGTTCTACTGGATTCACAACATGTCACATGTTCTGAATTGACCAATCAGAACTTTATTTAGCCTCCGTATTGTTTACGGTTGAATGTGGGCCGCGAAAAAAGAATTTGATTCCTAAGTGGGCCCTGAGTTGAGAGGTTGGGAACCGCTGTTCTAGAGAAACAATTTAAATGTCTTCAGTACTTTTTAAACAAGTAATTAATGAATAGATTGATATTTAAGTGTCCAACACTGTCTGGGAACAGAACTAAACCTGGTGGGCCTTGAATGTTTTAAAAACCATTGCTTTTACATTTTGTAATTGTCTATAAGGTCAGCTATCCCAAATGAGTTGTTGTGCACGGATGTATTTTCATGCAAAGGCCCTTAAACTGCAGAAATGTTGACATGCCATAATAGGAAAATGAAATAATAATACATGATATTTATATGGTGCTTTTCCCAGGGCTCAAATACGCTTTACAAGCAAATTAATGTAAAATGATAGTGGAGTTGAACTGCTTCTGATTCAGCATCCTGGTATTAAACATGCTGGGACACTTTGATGACAGCCATTGTTAATGATATAAATAACTCTTAATGTCTGTTGTGAAAAAGACCACTTTAGATCGGTTTCTGAAAAACAAGTCAATCACTAGATGGTATTACATATCATCTAGCTCAGTGGTTCCCAACCTTTTTCCCCAAGAGCCCCCCCAAATCACTCCTGTTAAATAATCCAACTGAAACCGGCATGGACAATGACTGTTTTAAAAATGCGCTTATCCAGACAAGCCCGGTTTGGACACTTTACAGGCAGAAGAAACATTTCTATCAAAGAAAGAATTTTTTTTTTTTTTTTTATGCCTATAATAGCTACTAACTTCAATTTGTATTCAAATTAATTAATCAATTATTTTTATATTTTATTGTAATGTAGAGACAAGGCTTATAGTGACAATCATGTATTGCTTTACAATTCTATGTAAAAAAAAAAAAAAAAATTCTAGATGATATTTGGCCTCAAATCATCTTAGGCCTGGCGCCCCCCCTGCAATCTTTGGCGCCCCCCCCAAGGGGGTCGCGCCCCCCAGGTTGGGAACCACTGATCTAGCTAACGCTTTCATCCAAAGCGACTTACAATAAGTAAAAAAAAACAAGTAAAGTGCCTCGATAAACATTCAACTGTCATCTTGCAATTTACTGATCTAGTTATTATCACCGTGATTGTCATCTTACTGTACAATATTTAATTTTACATTCTGTTCTTTTATACATCATATTCTATTTACGTGTCTATATATTTCTTGTACTATTTTTTTTATTTTATGTATGTTGCATTGTTGGAATCATAAGATTTAACTCCAGGGAAAACTCTGGGTTTCCGGTCCTACAACGCTGGTTCACTTCTTAGCGGGCTAGATCTCCATGGTAACTTAATGCTGAACGGCTAACCTCAGTGAAAGCACCGCCTGCTGACCAATCAGAGCTCAGTGTGCAGAGTTTAAAGCGATCAAGTCATATTACAGGAGAAAGGAAATACAGAAAAACTGCCGTTGCAGGAAAGACGGCCGGCAAAAATCAACTGACTGTGAACATGAAAATGAATAGAATATCACCTCCCATCTTCAGAGCAATCTGACTATTATAACATTAGCGTTAAGAAAGCTTACTTGAATATCTGCCACAACATAAGTAACCGGATCAAAGTAACATTACGTACAGTCCGCGGCACTGAGTGCAGACGTCGATGTGTCCCATTATCATTCATATCACATAATGTATCATATATTTCCTTATCTGAGTCAGCTGAGCCGTATCTGGCCGTGCAACACTCAGTGTCACATACTGTATGCAGAAGTATTATTTTAAGCAACACATTAAGTTGACGAAAACTCGAGTCAAATGTAATTAAAGTCAGATCCACTCGTGTCTTAGTGATATCAGTGATATCATAAACCTGTTAATGTACGCATTCGAACACGCTGTCAGTACGCTTGTCCATGTTTGTGATTGGTCAAATGTTGCTAACCCCGCCCCTTTTAATGTGAACGCACACTCAGCCGGACAGAGAAACCCTGGCTTGAGTTACCGAGTTGATAACCAGCGTCGTAGGACCGCTTAGCGAGAGCGCGTTTGTTTTGGGTTAGTCAAGCCGGGTAACTCAAACATATCCAGGGTCTGTTGAACTGGATTCGTAGTACAGGCCTCAGAGCTAAAAGGGGGCTTACAGCAAAGCTTTATTTTCGTATTCTCTAAAAAGACTCATGTTCATTGCTTTCACTTCACAAGATAAGGCATCATTGCACTGGAATATATTATCATAGTCCCGGTTTATTTTAATTCCCACAGAGGTGTCAGTTCTCCTTAAGACTCCTGATTGACCTCCATAAGGCACAGACCAGGAAAGAGACCGTGATCACTAGGGAGGAGAAGAGAAGATTAGAAAAGTTTAGAAATATTTTAATTTGATTTAATAGCAGATTAACTGGGACTGTCAGAGTCCTTACCTGGTGTGTCCGAGCAGCACGACCACAGACAAGGTGCCTTCTGGGAGATATCTGAACAGCTTTTGTAGCCGGCGGTCCAACTTCCCCATCAGGAGATCCATTTCCTCGTCCTGCATAGATCACACATTGGAGTCATTATTACATGTGTTCAAAAGTCTATTAACTATCTGAAAGTACTAACTATTGTGTGTTATGGGCACGCTGTTTTTTTATCATATTAAGGCGCAAAAGTCAAATCTATTGTAACAAAAGCTCAATTTTGTCTCTGACATTTATTTGAGTCAAGAAAATATCATCAGAGCATTGACTATGCCTTCAATCTTAAAGGCTGTTCTGCCTCAGTGATGTTATGGGTCTCCCAGTACAGCTTCGAGCTGTCGTCTTGGGTTTCCTTTTCATAACCAGACTCTTTATGGTTTTACATTAAATGCTGTTGTGCTCACACCACCTTTCTGGAGAGATAGAAAATAAACGTATTCTTTGAGGCTTTTCCACTAAAAAGATGATGGTACAATAGAAAAAGCAATGGCAGCCATCTTTAAAATCAGACTGTTTGTTAGAATCTTCTCTACATAGGGTGCGTTTCACTTCGGTTATTTTTCATTTCCTCGGTCTCGGTCTCACCGGAAGTTGATTTGTCTGCGCCATCTTGAGTAGCGTCCTACTGCCCTTATTTTTGCCAGAGGATCGAGGAGTGATAACGGAGGAGCGATAATCGAGGAACTACCTTTGGTGAAATCCTCAGACACTCGCCCCGCCCCCTTACTGTGTATCGCTCACTGATTGGACGATGCAGCGCATGCACTGATCTGGCTGCCATCAGACGATCAGCTGTGCGGCGTCATCACAAACGGATGTCGCTTCACGTGACGCTCCGGAGGAAACAACGTCCCATTGCTCTTAAAACTCATTTCCCTGCTTCTCGTGGTTTCCTTGCGTCTCTCCATGCTTCCCTGGTGGGAGGGACTAGAGGCAGGGAAACGACGCAAGTGAGGGAAGCAAGGATTTAATTTAACGATGTGAGATGCACCTTTAGTCAGACTTTGATCTATATTCATCTGTTCAAGTTGGGCTCAGCTACACCGCAATGTGTTAGCATGTCAAAAAAAAAAGACACACATTTACACTGGGTTTGACTCCTTTTTCTGATAAGTGACGATATATTTAAAGCGTATAATACAACCATCTTTACCTGAGAGCTTATGTGCATGTGGCTCCTCTCCTCTGAGGTGGTCGGTGTTGTTACTGCCGTCCAGGAGGGAAGGTGGTGAGGAGTTAGTGAAGGACAGACGAGGTAGTTCTCCTTCCTGAGATCTTCAGAGGAGCTGAGAGCTGCACGTTTCCCCTCTGAGCTTTCAAACCCTGCCAACCAGAGACATATATGTTAGCGACGCACAGAAAGTTAGTTAGACTCTATTCCTAATGAATAATATCGTGGTTTTACTCACTTATGATTGCATGTCTTGCATGTTTTCCAGATTGTTGCAGCAGGGCGACTCTCTCCACTGAACCAAAGAGACCAAACGTCTCTCTGACCGTCTCCTCAGACAGCTTAGATTTCGTCTTTGGTTGCGAATGTTGACCGTTTACTTTTTGAACAGAAGCAACATCTGAACATTTGGCATTTAACGTATGTCCATTGACTCTTTCAGAAATGTGTACGCTGTCAGCCATACTGGAGTTTAGTTTAACAGCATAGAGGTGAGTGTTGTTGTCACACATCAAAGCATCGAGAGTCAGATCGGCGTCCAGCATCGACTCGTAGACAGGACGCTGGACCTGGAGAAGGTACAAATAAGAAAAGTTGTTGTTGAACAATCAGCAGTCTACAGAGTTTGGGAAGAAGTTCAAAAAAAAGTAACATCATATTCAACTTGAATTATTAAGCACTTTTCTTAACAGTGTTTTAAAGGACAATACGATAGGAAACAGTGCTTTGCCCCTATGCATTTTTCATATTTTATTGCATTAAAACCTGTAATTTAGGTAGATTTTAGTTAATGGACCCACACAAAAGAGTCCAAATGGGTTAAGTTAAGAAAAATAAGCTTGTTTCAAAAGATAAATAAAGAATACAAACTGTACAAGCTGTATGTACAGGTGGCTCTACAACAGAGGTTGCGCTGCCCGCCATTTTGACTGACAGGATCGTAACATTTCCGTCACAATCCATTATTACCCGTCGGTCTGTACACAACTCTGACGGAGGGGGGGGGGGGGGAGTGACTCGTGAACTGTTAGCGCCGGTGTTATGCATGCCCACTGCACCTCGCGGGAGCGCGCCACAGCGTAAAGCACTCAGACAGTTCAATTATTTGCAGTAGCGTGGCGTGGGGAAAAATGAGGGGAAGCCAATAATACGTCCTTTCTTTTGGGTCGGGGGTGTGGTGGTCAATGTGATAACGTAACCAGATGAGTGATTACAGCACCCGGTATCATTTTACACACATTTGTATCATACAGATGCAGGACTTACACACGCCTGTTATCTAACCCAGGGGTTCCCAAACTTTGCCATGCCAAGGTCCCCTTGTTGCAAATTTTTTTTTTTTAAATGATGAGTACATTATGATGGAAAATATGACAAATTAATCATACAGCTTAATACATTTTCTTAATATATATTTGTATTAATAATTAATAATCAGTTATTCTTCTAAAAAATGTTTGTATTTATTTTTTGTTTGTCATTCATTACATGCATTGTGTCTTCTGTTATAAACATTCTTAACACAATATTAAACAGTAATATCAACAATAAACATATTTTTAAAGCATTTTTAAAGTGATTTCTGTCTTTATAATATTAAAATCTACGGAAGAGGATTAGGGCCACATACATTATTTTTTTGTGAGGATTTTTAAAAAAAATGTTTTTTTTTTTGGGAGAAAAAAAATCCTGACTTTAAAATCAGAATTCTGAGTTTTTTCTCAGAACAAAAAAAAACCGTACAAATCAAAATCAAATCAAGTTTTATTTATATAGCACATTTATAAACGATTTTTGGTCGAGCCAAAGTGCTGTACATATAATAAAAATAGCCTACGTAGAGACACTTTACAGCAAATACAACAGCACAGATTGTTCAGAATATCAGTATGAGAAAAATGACACCCTCTGTCCTTAGACCCTCTGTCCTTAGACCCTCTGCTGTCCTTAGACCCTCACATCGTACAAGGAAAAACTTCCAGAGAAAACCCACAGTTTAAAGGGAACATGGGAGAAACCTCAGGGAGAGCAACAAAGGAGGGATCCCTCTCCCAGGACGGACAGACGTGCAATAGATGCCGTGTGTAAATCGAAGAGATAATACATTTTACAGCATATAGACCGAATGCTAGGAAATGCATGTGTCTGTAATAAGAAGATGAATCCACGAGGATGTCAGCTACAATCCTGTGGAAGCCATCAGGGAAGCAGCAAGACGAGACCCAAGGCATATTATATGATTTTGAACAGTAATATGAACAATTAACATATATTTTTAGCATTTTTGAAAGCTACTTATGCCTTAATAATATTATATATAATATTCAACAGTAATATTAACAATAAACATATTTATATTCATATATATAAACATCAATATTTGCTACATCCGTGCTCTCATCCAGCTGCAGAGCGAAATATTCACTTGCTCCAAAAGCTGAGCAGAAACTCAGTTTCACTCTCAGTAGCGGCAGGTCGATTCTGATTGGCTTGAAGGGCGGTCGTGTGATTTAAAAATAATTAAATAAATAAAATAAATAATTAAAAATAAAATATTAATAAATAAAAATATTAAAAGATTGGCATCAAAGGATACATAGATTGATAGATATGCAGTTATTAATAACATCTTTTAAAAAAAATGTAACTTTCCCTTTCCCTTAAACTTTGCGTGACCCCCCTGACGGGCCCCCACTTTGAAAAACACTGATCTAACCGACAGTCCGCACGCACTCTCCAGCCGAAACTCTAATAAGCATTCATTCACAAACTAAATCAGGAGACCTTTAACGTTTTACGTCCGATTCGCTCCTTTTTTCCTCGCTGTACTCAGCTCCAGTTTGGGCATTGGCCTGTCATCAGATTGTATTTGTTGTTGCTGCTGTAGCGGAAGTTTAGTACAATTACTTTTGATGAAATACTCCAAATCTCCACCTTCCATAATTGCACTTGCTTTAGTCGCTTGCTACTTTCTAACGGCGGTGAGAGTGGTGCAGAGACGCTATCTATCTATCGATTCGATTTATGATTAGAAAATTATAAAAGTAGAGTAGACATGTGGATATTATCCGACTGAACAAAACGTGCATTTATCTAACAGGTTCGTTTTCCACTGACCTTATTTCGAGCTATTTTCCTAAATCCTATGGAGAAATCCCAGCCGCCTCTGGCTTCCCTTGGCATGGCCCTGACTAATCACATGTTGGCAGGGGCATGACGTGAGCCTAATCTGATTGGTCAATCCCTCCATTTTTTTTCACCAAGGGAAGCCAATTTCGGCTGGCCTCCCCTCGCAACAGAGAGTGCAATCTACTGTTTCACCATAACATCTAGAGGGGCGCTGTTTCACTCTTTGTAAAATACTCAATGAGAATGGGGGAGAGACGGGCCAGCAGCAACACAACAAAGAATTTCCTAAACTAAACGAAGTGTTTTTATTTATTTATTAAAACTATAACTACAATCCGAAAAACCAGGGGAAGCCTGGCTTCCCTTGGCCTCCAGGAGAAAACGCCACTGATGATTTGTACGGCAAAGTTAGGTTTGGAAACGATATCATCTCCTTTTTGGCGGGCATGCATAACACCGGAGCCTCGCTGCGGGGAAGCTTTGGCGCTGTTCTGAATTTGTTCTAATCTGTCAAAATGATGGACTGCTTTCAGATTTTTCCGTCATTATAAAAAAAGATCGCAAATAGACGGAAAATATTCGGTTAACCTCTGCTCTACAAAGTATTGACTTGGGGGTGAATACATTTGCAAACTCAACGTTTTTTTTACTTCTTTTTTGTTCTTGTTTAAAACATATTTTAATTTTCCAAGTGGTAGGAATGTTGTGTACATCGAATAATAAAATCTCTCCAAAAGTCACCTTAAATGACAGGTTTTAATGCAGTAGGATACAGAAAAGACCAAAAGGGAGAATACTTTAGCAAGGCAGTGCAAAACAGAGAAGGCAGATACAATGAGAGTAAGGCTCAAGGACATGAACACAGCGTATGTAAAAGCAATACAAACAAAGATAAAGGATAAGATGAAAAAAGTAAATATAAAGAGTGTTATTCAAGTTTTAAACAGAAAAAAAGTGCAAAAGAGTTACCTTGATGGACTGTCCCTGCATGTTGAGTCCATTCAACGTTTTTACAGCCAGCTCAGCTCCCTCCAGAAGCTCAAACTCCACCTCTGCATGAACCTGGGGAACAAACAGTGTCAAGATATAAAGATAATGTTTATAAATGGCATCCAAAAATATAGAAATCATGTTTACTGCTGTAGCTTCTACTGTTCTAGTTTAGGAGGAACTAAAGCAGTAATTATCACCATATATAAGAGGTATTTCGTTAAATCTGTGACAAAAATACAGTTTATTTAACATAAAATGAAGGATAATGTATGTGAGATATACCCGGACAGTTGTGTTCAACATTTTGATATTTCGAAGCGGTCCACAGCAGCGAAACAGGCGCCTCACTTCCTGTTCAGAGGATCCAGCAGGAAGTGGACCGGCCAACACCACACACAGATCTCTGAGGTGAGCACACACCTGGGGGGTAACACACGCACTTAGTGAAGCATTAAGAAATAAACACTTAAAGGTCCCCTATTATACTGTTTTTCATCAATATATTACAGGTCTCAGATTATACAGAACATGTCTCTGAAGTGTTTGGCTCCAAACACCAAACAGATCATTGCAGCATTACCCATAATCCCCTCTGTTTCAGCCCTGTTTCCAAAGTGCTGATTCTCTGTCTGTGACTTTAGATGAAAACAAGGAGCCCCTCCCCACGCCCCTCTGAGAGAGATTTGGTTACAAAGAACTCAATGGTGCTCTAGGAGGAGATTCAGGTGATAAAGTGGGGGGGGGGGGTTGCCTTGGTTGCTGATTGGCTAATGGTTACACAAGACAAAAGTGGCCAAAATCTGATCAGCTCATTTTCAGACAGGTTTTTATAGAAATGGATCAGGACAAAAAGAGAGAATCTTTTTTCCTGACACTTTCAGAGTCTCTTTCCACAGAGGGGACACATGTTGATGTAGAAGAGACATGAAGAAGAGGGGACACATGTTGATGTAGAAGAGACATGAAGAAGAGGGGACACATGTTGATGTAGAAGAGACATGAAGAAGAGGGGACACATGTTGATGTAGAAGAGACATGAAGAAGAGGGGACACATGTTGATGTAGAAGACACATGAAGAAGAGGGGACACATGTTGATGTAGAAGAGACATGAAGAAGAGGGGACACATGTTGATGTAGAAGAGACATGAAGAAGAGGGGACACATGTTGATGTAGAAGAGACATGAAGAAGAGGGGACACATGTTAATGTAGAGGAGACATGAAGAAGAGGGGACACATGTTGAAGTAGAAGAGACATGAAGAAGAGGGGACACATGTTGATGTAGAAGAGACATGAAGAAGAGGGGACACATGTTGATGTAGAAGACACATGAAGAAGAGGGGACACATGTTGAAGTAGAAGAGACATGAAGAAGAGGGGACACATGTTGATGTAGAAGAGACATGAAGAAGAGGGGACACATGTTGATGTAGAAGACACATGAAGAAGAGGGGACACATGTTGATGTAGAAGAGACATGAAGAAGAGGGGACACATGTTGATGTAGAAGAGACATGAAGAAGAGGGGACACATGTTGATGTAGAAGAGACATGAAGAAGAGGGGACACATGTTAATGTAGAGGAGACATGAAGAAGAGGGGACACATGTTGAAGTAGAAGAGACATGAAGAAGAGGGGACACGTGTTGATGTAGAAGAGACATGAAGAAGAGGGGACACATGTTGATGTAGAAGAGACATGAAGAAGAGGGGACACATGTTGATGTAGAAGAGACATGAAGAAGAGGGGACACATGTTGATGTAGAAGAGACATGAAGAAGAGGGGACACATGTTGATGTAGAAGAGACATGAAGAAGAGGGGACACATGTTGATGTAGAAGAGACATGAAGAAGAGGGGACACATGTTGATGTAGAAGAGACATGAAGAAGAGGGGACACATGTTGATGTAGAAGAGACATGAAGAAGAGGGGACACATGTTGATGTAGAGAGACATGAAGAAGAGGGGACACATGTTGATGTAGAAGAGACATGAAGAAGAGGGGACACATGTTGATGTAGAAGAGACATGAAGAAGAGGGGACACATGTTGATGTAGAAGAGACATGAATAAAGGCCTCACCCTCTGCTGCTCCAGGTGGGGGAAGCTTTTCTTCAGATGGCTGGAGAGGGAAGGGAGCTGGAGCACGGAGAGGAACGGACACCTGGTCTGCCCCCGGAAAGACGCTAAGACCTGAAGGAGACGAGATGAGGTCACAGTGATGAAGAGGAATTGAGTTATGATGGGAAAAGACAGAGGACAAGGAAAACCAATGCATGTTTATTGCCCTATAAAATACTCAGTAATCTATAAAGTCATCTCTTAAAAAGAGCCGTGTTATCCTCAGTTCCTCTCCTTGTGACTTTATATACTTTTTTTTTACACAAGGCAGATAAACCACAAAAGATTTGATTCTTAACTTCCTATCGTCATTTTTAAGATGAGATAGGAAGTCTAACATTTTATTTTGTATTTGGCATTATAGAAGCAAATCCTTAAAAACGAATCTGATCAAACTTCATTCTAGTGTTTCTGAGGTTAAGAAATCCTTAATACTCAATCCACATCGTTCATACTGTACATACGTATACTATTATATGTATAGACAGTATAAGCCTATATTCCTGTATTTTTTACTTTTTTAAAGAACATTTTAGTTATCCAGAATTTTTTATATTTGACATACTATTTTTTAATTTTATTTCTAATTGTTAACTCTATTCCATTTTTTAAGTATGTGTATTGTTGAACACACTGCTCCTGTAACAAAAATAATTTCCCAAATTGTGATTAATAAAGTATAAATCTATCTATCGTCATCTTTTCTGTATGTAACCTAACAACCAACGCTACTTTTCTCAAACAGGGATTCTTATATCCAACAAGTAGTTAAACCAGAAGTCCTTTTATAACCACTTGCTGTGTCACAACGAAAACAGAGGATCAATGCTCATTTTTGGGAAGAAAACCAAGCAGATTTAGGCCCAATCCCAAACCACACCCTACACCCTATCCCCTACACACTCCTCCTCCGTGACAGAGTGAACTCTCGCTTTGGGACAAACTCCCCTCTCTCCGGCAGAAGCAGGAAATGCCGTAACTGTATGTAACAACGGTTTCAAATCAGCATCTCTTAGACAAAATATTCAAATTAATAACTAAAATAAAACTCTAAACATCTTTCATTGTGTTACTTTTTTGTAAAGCTCTTTTAGTTTTAAACCTGATGTTTATAAGCTTCTTAGTTTTTGCAACAATCTGTAAATATACACAACTTTATAATAAAATGCACACATTTACCTTTTTCTAGACTAAACACAGGTATGATCCTAAGTTAAAACATATGAGGTCATCATGAGGTTGTTAACATCGCAGTTTATCAGTGGATGTTTGCAGGAACTACTTGTTAACAGCGTGTTTCCTGACGGACACACACAGCGTGACTCCGGTCAGGTAGAGACCGGTCTCAAGTTAGCACCGCTGCAGACTCGCTGTTTGAGGGCTTGATAGCCCACTCCCCCTCCACACCGCTCCACACCCGTTGGTTTGGAACAGCACTTAATGTGGCGGACCCTCCGCGTGAACGGAGGGGTAGGGTGTGGTTTGGGATTGGGCCTTAGTGTGTGATCAGGAAAATGTCTCACCTCCTTGTCAGAGTTGAACCACTGCTGATTGGACAGATCCAGAGCGATGTCAGAGCGCTTCCCTAAAAAGGCAACAGACCGGCCATGTCTTTGTAGAACGTCAGGAAACCTGCACGAGAAATAAAGACGGAGAATCGGAAAACCTTTATATTAGTAACGATGGACCAACATTTGTCAGATCATTTTGTTAGAGATTTAAGTTATTATTATCCCCTTAATCTATTGTTTCAGATTATCATGCAGATTTTCAACTACATAAACCATTTCTATTTTGTTGAAAATACCCTGTGGGATAATTATAGCATAAACATAGAAGTAGATAATCCAGGTAAAGACAGACTATACAGCAGTTGGAGAGATTTGTAGATTGACTCAAACATGTCTGGGTTCATATGTGTGTCTGAGAAGGTTAATGTCATTTCTTTTTTATCACAAAAAGCTACATTTTTGGGTGAAATATGCTGGCTAAGCATGGAAGCTAAACACCCAGGGGAAAGATATGTTTGAAGTGACTTAGGATGGACATCATCTGTGTAAAGGTATACAGATTTTAAACGTATGTTACCTCTGACTCTGTGGGGGTGCAGGTTCAGCAGGTGCCAAGTCTTCAGGCTCCTTTATTATCCTATATCCCCACAGCTCCTCCATATGAAGCTCTACTACCTGTGAACATACACAGAAAATATCATAACAACTGTGTGTGTGTGTGTGTGTGTGTGTATGTATGTATGAATGTATGTATGTATGTATGTATGTGTGTGTGTGTGTGTGTGTTAGAAAGTGTTGAGTTACCTGTCGCGGTCCTTTCTTTATAAAGTACTGAGCCAGCTCCAGGGCTGCCAAAGCATCCTCGATGGGATTATGACCCGTCTTCTCTTCAGTTTGTATCTGCCGACTGGGACACACGTGGAAAAGTAAATCATTAGACGAGAGAAAGAGAGAAGGACACAGAGAGACGGGCACACAGAGAGAGAAAACTTACTTCAGCACTGACTCTGTGATGACCTTCAGTTTGAACCTCTGTCCGAACTCTCTCCTGTACAGCAGCGAGGTGTCGATCACATGAGGGTGGATCAGCTGAGGGGACACACACACACACACACACACACACACACACACACACACACACACACACACACACACCACACACACACACACACACACACACACACACACACACACACACACACACACACACACACACACACACACACACACACACACACACACACACACACACACACACACACACACACACACACACACACACACACAGCATGTTTTAACTTCACACTTTAAATAAAAGTTTAAATAGAGCCTCTTCAAAATGAAAATATCCATCTAAAATCAATGATTGATGTCCGCAGTAACTCACTTTCAGAGCGACGAGGTCGTTGTTTAGTGAGTGTCCCACCAGGACTGCATCGCTAGGCAACAGCGTCTTGAGCCTTGTCTGAACATTCCGTAGGGTTGTTGTGATTGGTCGCAACATCGCTGCAGTTATACCAGAGAACCTATCAGAGGGCAGCCAGCAGCGCAGGCAACACAAATGTTTAAAGTGTTTTGAAATTATGTTTGTTATCTAAAATACACTAGTGTTTCTGTGAGTGAGTGAGTGAGTGAGTGTGTGTGTGTGTGAGTGTGTGTGTGTACCTGGTGAAGTGGTTGATGATTCTGTTGGGAGGTTTCACCAGCTCATCCACAACACACTTCCCATCACTGTCCACCAGAGAGACACGAGCCAACTCATTACCCTTCTCTGTCAGACACTGAAGCACAACATGAAGACATTAGCTTACAGAAACCTTTATAGAGCTCAGAACATGAACATCTTTCAGTGAGACGTTGCTAAGAAAAAGCTTAATAAATGGAGTGGCCACTAGAGAGGAAGAAGCCAAATCTAGACATGGCTTATTTTTGTCATTTAGATGAGGTGGTTTTACAGTTTGAGCTGCAATTGGATTATAAATGCATCAAATGTTAAAAGCTCTGTTATGTGGTACATTTCTTTCAAAAGGACTCCAAGTATAATACATATTCTAACATATGTCTCTCTATTTAAAAAGATAGACTGGTTTGAAGGATGGTTCCTACCTTAAAGACATATTTATAGTACATTTTATTTTGACCTGATAGAGTGTTGCCATGCACTTAAATGTGACATTACATGCTGTGCTGTTGTTGAGTTTGCTTTCCTGTTCTGTGTTCTGTCTGTGTTTTTTGTACTTTGTAATGTGCAGAGTACCACATGGAAACTATGTTTTGTACTGAAATGTTGCAGGGTGTTTGGGGAAAGAGCAACGCACCATTTCACAGTCGAGTCCATACAGAGGGCTGCTGTCAGTCACACAGTCAACACTGTCTGTGCACACAAAGTCCTGGAAGTCTGGCATTCCTGTGCAAAAGCAATAAGTAATACTTTATAGACAAAGATTCATTTGAAAATGCATTCTGGTGAGGACGAGGTAAAAAAGAGCTTTTGTAAAATACATTTTCTATATATTCAGATTGACAGTCTCACCTTTGACAGGCCAGCGTTTCTTGACCATCTCCTCCTCGGGGAGAACATACGCTGTCAGTCCTCTCCTCTTGGTCCCAAACTTGGTGATTACTGGGTGAATCCTCAGGCCTGCAGCAGTGTTAAATAACACACAAATATAATTAAGAACAAGATCAAAAACAGTGAGAAAACTAAAGCACAACTACTGCTGAGAGATATGATAATGTTTGACTAAAAGCCGCAATAACATAATATGATATTGTGGGATAAGTGTTCACGGAGGATAATTACCCACGAGATGATCATTTCTAGTAACAGTCAAATTAAATGTGGATATCACACAAGTTCAAAAAGTAGCCTTTAATATTCAGGAAAGTCTTTGGGCTAAATTATATTTTCTTGACAACCAAACTCAAAGCAATAGCTACTCTTATGTAATACTAATGATACATTGTTCATGTATTGCCTTAGTGTACACACACTTACTTCAAACATATCCACATAAGATTCTCACCTTTTGGTAAATCACTGCTTCCATTGTGTCTTTGGGAAACAGAGGGATCGTCTGACTCAGGAACTTCACTGCTGAAGATTCCTGAGGCCAGGTCGGTGGAGGATGGAGTAAACGTGACCCTCTAAACCAGGCAGATACAAACGTTTTAAATAGGGATGCACAATGAGGATTGTTCAGTTCAATCAGCGATAATAACCTGCTTTTCATGGAAGAAACCGGATCAGTTATCATATTTAAAATGTTGTATTTAAAAAGAGATGTATAATCTGTAGTTTCTGCACACCTGAGCACACTAAAAGCTAAGATGTATACAGCAGAGATGGCTGGTTAATATTCCCTAGCTCTTACTCTTATTTGCATATACATTACAAAAACTAAATGGTATTTCAAATTGCAGTGGTTTCCTCTGAAAATGTGTAAAATGTCCTCAAACAGGAGACAGGTTTGGCCGTTTAGTCGGCGTATTCAAGCAATAACTTTTGTATTATTGGCCAAAAAATGAATGGGCTAAAATATAATAATCGGAATATACATAATAATATTCATTTCCCACTGTCTGCACATCATTGAATAGCACCGTTATCCCTAGTTCAAACCAAAAACGAACACTGGGAATGAAGATTTATCTTAAAATAAGTCGGTCCATCTCCGTCCCCTGGTTACTCACAGTGCTGTAGTTGGTCCTGAGGTGCTGCAGGGTGAGGTAGTGTTTGTAAAAGTGACTCTGGGTCAGCCCCTCTATCATCACCACATTCACAGCTTTGACCTTCTTCTGATGGTGGAGGCGGCACCAACTGAAAGAGACACACAGGGGGGTTTTAAAAAGATCATTTAGATTATTGTTATGGCACAGGAACAGGGACATTATAGAGACATATTTGATGCAAGCAGATGAAGTACATGACATCTAACTACCACAGTCATTACCTGGGCTGTTCAACGCCAGCTGTTTTCCCCAGAGCGGCGTAATGCAGCAGCTCTGTCAGATCATTCGCTGTTATTGGTTGTTGAAGGCGGTCGGGCAGCACAGAGATCCTCGGTGAGCGAGAGGAGGGTTCAGACTCCAGAGTCTCATCTCCTTCCTCTGTTTTTAATCTCTTGACCTCCTCATGTGCTGCAGGGGCGATCCTCTTTCTCTTCCTCCCGTTGCATGTCACTTCTGCCGATGAGGGCTCCATATTCAAGCCTGTGTTTTTAAAGGATGGTAAAAAAGGATATTGAAAACTACATTATGTCATGGCTGTCAAATGTCTAACAGTATTCGATACGATATTACTTTAATGGTCAGATCAAGTCTGACATTTGACTGGCATCAGAGCAGCTCCATGTTTAACATCAACTTAGACAAATATCAAGACACACAATACATGAAAAACAAACAAAAAACATTTAAGCAGAAGTATATCTAAGATTCACAGAATTGTATTGTTTTACTTGTGAAGTTAGAACAGGGGAGCACTGTGGTTATCCACATTTTAGTAGTGCTAAAAATAATGTATCTTATTTTTAATATCAAAAACAATTTTGCGTCAGATGTGGTTTACTAAGTCTTTGATTAGATATTTCCCTACTTGAATCTTATTTTTAACGGCACATTACAATGCGGATACTATTTGCTAAGACAAACATATTCACACAGAAGAATATAAATTAAACATGTAGTTTAAGATGAAGGTTTTCATGTCCTAATTTTGATAACATTATAAATATCCCGAAATATATTTCTCAGAACTTCACCCTTCATGATGTGTTATTATATTATACAAGTAACACAGACTTTTGTTAACGATATTTAAAATATCATGGTTGTGAATTGAATTAATCTTGATTACTTCAGCAGTAAAGCAACAAAGTGACTATTGAGCCAAGTGGACTTGCGAACATGTAAGGGTGTGGTTTACTTCATCCCATTATTAAAGGATGTGTATAGTGACAGTATAATGGTGCGTTTACTTTATTTGTCAGGTAAATAAAGTCAGTTTAAGCTTTAACAAAATGCATTAACTGGTGAATATATTCATCGATGTATTCGGCATTAAAACAGGGTATCTGAGCTTTCAAATGTATACAAAGACGCTTAAACTAAAGTAGGAATTAAGAGTAACAGTTGCACTAGGAAACCAACACACCTAGCTTAGCTAATACTTTAAAAAAGAAATATACACATATACAATTACTATTAAGGAGTAGTTATAAGTTGGGCAAACGTGTGGGAAGGGTATCGATAATTAAAAAATGTAAATACCAGATGTTATTGGTCCTGAAGGTTAGAAATTCATGTTTTTTCACCATTGGTCGAAGCTAAAAACACATGGGCACTCCACGTTATAACTTGTGATATAAAGTAAAAACAACTAGTACGACTTCCGGTGAGAGACGTTCAAAATAAAAGAATGGTCAACTCCGTAATGTCCTTTAATCAGTAAATGTGGGTAGCATTGCGTAGATTTGAACATATTTAAAAATATAAAACGTAAAAGATTATACTCACACTATTTTAAAGGTTTATAGTTTGTTATGGGCTGGTGTATGTTACGCTTTTGTTTTGGTAACCAATGGTAAAACCGGAAATGCTAATTGTTTCGATAAACTCCGCCTTTTTTCTGTGATCGATGTTTTTTCTCTGCAGTTGATTTACGATACTATCAGACCCTGTTAATCAAACTCGTACTGATGGATGGACATTTGAAAAGAAACAGCGCGACCCTTTTCTGCGTGTTTTAAGAATCTTAAACAACGTAAGAAATATCCAACATAATGACTACAAAGAAACTTGCAAAGTAAGTAACTGACTAACCGAGTGCCTTTAACGTGAGCTAAGCAGCTAATGCTAACATAAACAACACCGAGAAGATTAACACGTTGTTTTGTATCTTCTGTAGGAGATTCTTTATTTACCTCACGGCAGCATTTTGAAAGTCAATCTACACAGGAATTACACAATCACTTAAAAACGAAGATAAACCATTACATATTCTCAATAAGAAAGACCTATAATTGGATGAGTATCTAAACATAAAATATACAGAATACATTATAAATTACTAATCTACTGATCATAAACATACAAACTACCACTAATATTAGTAGTAGCTGCTATTAACAGTCATCATTAGGTTTAACTTAATACGTAAGACGTATTTATTATATATTAATGTTGTATTGAACAAATTGCACATCACACACTTTACAATAAGAAATACCAGGGTTCTTACGGTCATTAAAAACCTGGAAAAGTCATGGGAATTCAAAATGCTAATTCCAGGCCCTGGAAAAGATATGGAAAACAATATTTTCCCCAACGTTTTGGAAAAGTCATGGAAATGTAACTAAAGTTGCATCAAATATAATTTATATTTTATCTAATCGCCGAAATAATGATACTATAATGATAATAAATACTGTATCGTATAGTAATGAAACGTAAAATGGCATTTAACTGATGAGATATTTTGCTGGTGAGAGATTGTAGTTGCTTTTCAGTGGTACCGCTGAGAGTCATTTTTTTGGTCATGGAAAATTAGGGAGAAGTCATTGAAAATAATTTGTGAAAAAGTGTATGAACCCTGAAATACGTTGAAAAGTCATTCTGTTTAAGGAAAGAGAAATAGGCAAAAATGAAGGGAATATTTCCAATTAAGAAACATTATATATATATATAAAATATATATTTGCATACATAGGCAACGCTTGTTGAAGATGAATGCTTTTTTGGTACAAGATTTCATAGTTTTCAAGAACATTTCAAACTACGTGCAGCATAAAGAAATGATTTTTTTTTTACAATCAATAGATTAAAAATACACTTTTCTTTTCTTTATATTTGTAGTCGTTGTATAGAATCTGAGTATAACTTGTTCGTAAAATAATGCAAACTCTTTGTACAAGATGCCAGTAATATATTTGTAAACTGATTTTAGAGTACTGATAATGCCAGAAAAGATGGGGCACCGTTTCAGGTTGAGCTGTGCAAAGTACAATATGTTGGTGAATAATTAACAGAGGAATCCCTCTCTGTCTCCACAGAGAACTGGGACTACTGAGGCAGAGGAGTCAGTCAACAAATGGATCCAAAACATTATTATCAAGTAAGAATGACTGATGTATTGATAATGTGCATACAGAGTTTGGACTTGATCCTCATGCCAGTACACTTTCCTTCTGCATTACATTTTTACACTTGTGACTTATACGGCTTGTTTCCTTTCAGACCAAATATTTGCATACCTAATAGTGATCGATTTTGAGTCAACTTGCTGGAAAGAGAAAACCAACTACGGCCAGGAAATTAGTGAGTAGCCTTCTATAACACCTTCATGTCATTATTTTCCCTTTATTGCTGATAACCTATATTATGTTCTCTCCTCCCGCTATGCAGTTGAGTTTCCTGCTGTTCTGCTCAACACGTCCACAGGGGAGATCGAGTCTGAGTTTCATACTTATGTCCAACCCCAAGAGCGTCCCCTTCTGTCCGAGTTCTGCACTGAGCTGACCGGGATTAAACAGGTTTCTGTGTATAGTCATAAATGCAAAGCCACAAACTCACCAGTGCATTTTTATGGTTCTGTTTTCTTTACTGCATGTAACATCATATCTGACCGGTTTGTCTCCCTGTGTAACAGGTGCAAGTGGAGGCAGGGATCCCCCTCCAGATCTGTCTCTCTCGGTTTAACCGCTGGCTGCAGAAGATGCAGGTGGAGAAGGGTTTGGTCTTTCCAAACGGACAACAGAAATCTTCTGCACCTTCACCTTCTCAGAAACGGTGTGCTTTCGTCACGTGGTCAGGTAAAAGTCACTTGCATTGGTCTACAACGAATAAACTGGTCTCTACCTTGTGAGGTTATTTCCTGCATTGGAGACACACTAAGCATCAACTAGACTGCCATTGATATCTTCAAACATTACAACATACAAAACTTAGACAAGAACACTAAATACGAAATTGTCTGTGTAGCTTAATTGCATTAGTTTAATGAAATAAAGAAATATCAATTTGTTTAAAAACAAAATAAATGTAACTGTAATTTGTTCCCACCTGTGTTGTATATCAGATTGGGATCTCGGAGTTTGCTTGCAGTACGAGTGCAAACGCAAGCAGCTCCATAAACCTGATGTGCTCAACAGCTGGATAGACCTGAGAGGAACCTACAGGGTGAGTGGGAGTTTAATCGCTTTGTCTTTACACCGGTTTTCTCTTTCATGCTTCCTTACTCTTTTGTTGGTAAATGTACATCTTAAGTTGCCAAATACTACAGGGTTTAATTTGCTTATTCAGTGTGACAACAGTCAAAAACACAAAGGTGTTCAATTACAAATGTCATGTTACCAGTTACGAACTGTAATAAGAAATAAAAAGTTCTTTAGTATCTAAATATTCCATGCTAAAACCTTTTACTAAATAACTATATCAGTTATACGAGACATAATCATTTCAGCCCTGCTCACGTTGCGATTAACACATTTTTTCTGTATTTTCAGATGTTTTATGACAAGAAACCCAAAGGCTTGAATGGGGCGCTACAGGATCTGGGGATACAGTTTTCAGGACGAGAACATTCTGGTATAAGCATAAAGCAAAGATCACTTTTTGTGAGAATACATCTACATCAAAAATAGGCCTAATCTAATGCTGTTTTTCCTCTTCCCTCAGGTTTGGATGACTCCCGAAACACCGCTTGTCTGGCAGTGAGGATGATGAGGGATGGGTGTGTGATGAAGATCACCCGGAGCCTGGAGAAGGTGAGTGGCCGTCGTCCAGCGATGCATCTCAACTCCTAACTCCCCTATTCTGCCTCCGTGATCAAACCTGTTATGAATGAACTTAGTTCAAGTCCACGTGGATGAAGCTTGTTTTACATTGGGGTTTTTTTATAGTTCGTGAAGGTTTTTTTTGTTAATAAACTAATTTATAACTGTTGGAATCATAAACATTGATATTCAAGTCCTTTACTTGGTTTAACTTAAAGGTCACCTATTATGCAAAATCAATGTGTCCCCTCTGTGGAAAGAGACTCTGAAAGTTTGAGGAACAAAGATTCTCTCTTTTTATCCTGATCCATTTCTATAAAAACCTGTCTGAAAATGAGCTGATCAGATTTTGGCCACTTTGTGATGTCATAACGATTTGTTGGCTTGTGTAACCATTAGCCAATCAGCAACCAAGGTAACCCCCCCCCACCTTATTACCTGAATCTCCTCCTAGAGCACCATTGAGTTCTTTGTAACCAAATCTCTCTCAGAGGGGCGTGGGGAGGGGCTCCTTATTTTCATCTAAAGTAACAGACAGAGAATCAGCACTTTGGAAACAGGGCTGAAACAGAGGGGATTATGGGATGCTGATCTGTTTGGTGTTTGGAGCCAAACACTTCAGAGACATGTTTTGTATATATCTGAGACCTATAATATATTGATGAAAAACAGTATAAAAGGGGACCAAGTGCTTGATGTTTTATTAAATATGAAGTAATTGTTTCTGATCACACAGGAGGAGTAAGTCATCCACCTTTGCAGGACTATACCGCGCAGCACATACTACAGAATTATTTGACCATGTGGTTTCAAGAAAAATCAGGAATAAGGGGTTTACTGATGATATCTCTTGTCTTATCTTCTGCTTATAGGCGCCATCAATGGTCAAACCCTTGTTTGGAAACACAACTGCAGACAGCAAAAAGGAACAATCGAAAACTGATAAAGAGAAAAACACACCTAACACAGAAAAACCTTCATCATCCAAGATTCCTCCTAAATCACGTCAGATAAAATCATGTTCAGAGGACATTACAAAGTATTTAGACACAAAGGAGAACTCTGTTCAAAGCCTGATCTCACCAAAGACACTGCTGAACGGTACAAATACACCACTAATGGGATGCAGCAGGATGTCAGTTTCAGCAGGGGCTAATACTTCCTCTTTAGTTAGGATAAACTGTCCTTCGCCCCACAATAACACCACCAGTCTTGTTCTGTGCTCCACTACTCTGGGCTGCCTCTCAAATCTGCCAAACCAGCCCTGTAAAACAAGAGAAGAAGAAGAAGGATATGGGGAAGCATTTTGCGTGGAACCGGAAGACAGGTGTGGTTCATATGATGACGTGGTGTTGGAGGAAGAAAGTGTCAGTATTGGTGAAACTGAGAGAGAATTTGATCATGATTATGTGTCAGATTTTCATGTGTGGGGAAAGCCTGATGCTGCACATTTACCAGGCGGTCGTGTCACATTAAGGGACACAATAAGAGAAACAAAGAGCATTGTTGACAACTTTAAAATTCATAATATGACCGGTGAATCATCAACAACGTCTCTACCTACAAACAAAATCCTACCCCACATTAATGTGTCCAATAACTTACATGAAATGAGGCAGCATTCAACAATCTCGGAGCACAGTACTTTTGCTGTGCCTAGAGCAGTGCCCTCGGACAAATCAAATTACAAAACGGGACTTAAAACCTCTCTACCAGCACAAGAAAACTCATATTCGTTTAACAAAATGACTCAATTATTAAACACATCCTCTCGAGTCAAGCACAAACCCTTCGTCCCAGAAAAGACCTCCACCCCTTTCACTTCATTTATCAAGCCCAGAGCAGTCGTCACACAACACCCAAAGCCCAAAGAGACTCCACGATCTTCCTTCACCATCTACACCGACGCAACTAAAACCTCGGTTTCTTCCACCGGTGACTCTTTTTCCAAGACTGTCCTCGCCTCTTTGTCCACCAACTCACTCAATCAATCCTCATTTTCTATATCAAAGAGAGTAGGTCAGAGGATCACATCCCCTCTGTGTGGGTGTGGGCGTCGTGCAAAACGTCAGCTGGTTTCTAACGGGGGTCCGAACCACGGACGAGGGTTCTTCTGCTGCCCGGTTCGGCGCTCAGGCAGCGGAGGGAGGATCCAGAAAGGCTGCGAGTTCTTTAAGTGGGAGTCGGCTGTGATGAAGAGCAGTTTAGTGGTCGCTCCTGCAGTCGGTTCCTCTGTGTCACTCTGTCAGATCAACTCCTCTCTGAGCCGTCCTCCACCCCTAACCCTGCTGAGAAAGAGCTATTAAAGGTCCCACGTCATGGCCATTTCTACTGATCTACTAGAATAGATTTATATTGTGCAATGTTCCAAACTCACATTGGTTTCTCATACAGCATCTCTGTATAGTATGTGTATTCACTCTCTGTCCTAAACGGCTTGTTGGAGCTCCTGCCCCCCTGTGAGCCCAGTGTGCTCTGATTGGTCAGCTCGCTGCTACGAGGAGCAGACAGGCTTCCGTGTCTGCGATACAGAAGAACAAGCGAAACTCATCCTGAGCACACACAAACACTCACAGCCGAAGTAAAAACAATAAGTGTGGCTTGATATTGAGTAAGAAAAAGGTTTATAGCGCTGTGAGCATGGGTCTGCGGAGAGCATTTCTCCACGATCCCAACGTGGTAGCCCGAAAAACGTTTACCCATTTAAACAGTCGTGGTAGATACCTTGATTGTTTTAAACATCATAAATAAAAAAACAACAATGAATACTTACAGGTTTGTACCCGAATCTCCCGCTGGTCCAAACAAAGTAGGAACAGCATCGTTCTTCAGTGCCCTACGCTGTACATATCCGGCATGAATCGCTGAAAGGTTTGGGAGGCTTTGTTTCGTGAAATGCTGGCAGAGGGTGTGGCCTCGGTATCCCCATGTCAGAGTACCCAGGAAGAAACAAATGGAAAATGAGAAATCCCCAACGAGGCGTTCTGGGGCAGCACAGACAGGTATTTTCTGTGTTAGAGTTTTACTCGCTACAGGGTGTACTTTGAGGGGTTTTGACTCTGCAGACCGTTTACATGCAGAAAAACCTTCATAACACTCAAGGGGACGGGTAATAACCGGAAAAGCATGACATGGGACCTTTAAAAGCGAGGGTTGGGAATGTATTTAAGGGGGAACATGGTTGTACTTGTTGAAATACTTTTAGAATCTCAGCAGTTAATCCAATGCTCTGACAAAAAAAGATATAGCTGCAGGCCTTAAATAACTTAAACCAATACTTTTGGGATGGCCAAACTGTCTACCTGCAAGTTATCTGCTAGTTTGACAGCTGTGAGTACTAACAACACCAATTTGTTGTTTTACGTTCATTGTGGTGTGTTGACGTTTTTAATTATAGTTTGGGAAGGGGATTTGGAGGGAGGCTCGTTAGATTTAGTGTATTTTAGATTATTGGAAAATAATTTGAACCCTGAGTTGGATTTTTTGTTTGCAACCTGTCCCTTACGCTTGCTGGCATTATCAATTGTTCTAAGCCCAAACACAAGCTTTAACTTGTTGGAGAAAAATAAGATAAGAAGGTGTGTTTTACCTCCGTAATAGAGATTTGGGTGTTTTTATATCCCCACAAAGACAAACATTGTGTTTTATCAAATGTGTTCTTATGTTTTGTTTGAAGAAGAAAAAAGATCTAAATAGATGCTTATGAAAACAGAGAACTATTTTTATACCTTTAGCAGAACAAATCAAAGTTGTCATTTAATTGACTGAAACCATTTTCTATCAAATCTATTATTGTTTGTTTGGACAATTAATTTAGTGCTATCAAGTTGAAATGTCCCAACAAATCTGATTAATTGATTTCTGTATTTCACAGTAAAGTAAACACTTTTTAATGTCCGTTAAATGTTTTACCTTTAAAGGATATTAGATTTAATTTGCACTAATGAAAATGTCACCTCAGGAAATGTGTTGAAATGATTGTATTTTTTACATTTTGACCACTGATGAACTCTGATAATGAACTCCTTTTGCCATATCTTGTACAGTAATTACATCATTTGTTTTGATCAAAGTTTTTGTTGAATAAAATGAAGAGGCGATTGTTTTAATCATGATTTTGTTTCATGATTTTCTGGACAGTTATAAGGGGTCTTCTAATGTTTAAAACTAGCAGAACTATGGTAAAGTATCCTATTACAAGTCCTGCATACAAAATCTCAGTTAAGCAATATTAACGCACACCTTTGTGACCCTCCTAATACTCTGAACCTGTGCACAATTCTATATCCTTTAAAACTGAAATGCCCTCTACTTTAATCAGATATGTACATATTTTCACAGGTTTTAGACCTCTTTTTATTACACTTACTTTTTTGTATATTTAAATGCATCATGCACATTTCTTTACTCATACTTTAAAGGACTTGTTTCACCATTTTAATTTCTCTTACTGTTTTCAAGATTCAAAAGTTGTATCAGAAGCACAGTAGCTGTAGCGTAGTTGTTGGGAATTAACATCTTAAGTCCCAGGTCCCTCCAACAATACTGAAACAAAAAAGAAAGTAAAATAGAGCAGTAGAAAATAACACAAGTTGTATAATGGTATAATATGTACAACATCTAAGATAAACACGTTGTAGCTTGTATTTATGCAACAACACATTTCAAAATCATATGGATAAACACATTTATACTTTCTTTTTTTTAATAATGTATGTCAGTTTATATTTTTTAATGTTCTTATAGTTTGTATCTTATATGTTTGTTTGTATGATTAAGGTGTGGAAAGCTTCACGTAAGAATGTCATTGTACAGTACAACTGCCTGTTATAGCCTACCTTGTGTGTGTCTTTAAAATATCTTGAATTTGGAATCTACTTCTGGTTTCGAGTATGCCGTTAATGCTCAAAACCAAAGGCGAGCACCGTTTCGCGAATCACTGAAGACGTGTGTCCCTCCTCCCACGCCGTACAGGGCAACCGAAGAACGTGCTATGTTGTGACTGAATGAAACATCGGTTCTCTGAAACAATTTCACTTCATTTGAACGCACATTAAGGCGCACACAGACGGTATCATTTCTCTAAAGTCCACATGGCTTTTACTTTGTAGTCGCTATAGCTTTAAAACTCCTTACAGCCCTACTTTTTTTTACTCGGCGAAGTAACCTAAAACAGCACAGAAGCGCTGCTTGTGGAGTTTAGGTAGTGAAAGCCTCTCTGCTAACATGTCTGCTGCCGTGTCCAACGACAGAAAGCGGGGGAAGAAGCGGTACGGAGGGGGTCACGGCAACAAGAGATGGAAAGGCTCCCGGGAGCTGGAGGTGGGCATGCAGGGGATCCTCATCACATGCAACATGAACGAGAGGAAGTGCACGGCGGAGGCCTTCAACCTGCTCAATGAGTACGCAGACCAGCTGTATGGGCCCGAGAAGGTGAGGAACACTTCAGTTTTAAATGTCTCTTATCTTGGAGTGTGTTTCAGTAGTAAAAGTATTGTCCATAGACTTAAATTAAACTGTTCCAGGCAGTATCTTCAAAACCACTACTTATTTCTTAATTTTTGTTGGTAAAACAAATATATTTGGGATAACAGTAATCAGTAAAAACAGTTTGGATGGACAATGACAAAACATTAGTTGGTTCAAACTTATTACATTTGAGGAATTGATTGTTTTATATTGTTATACATGTGGTGTTTGGAATGTTGATTGAACAAAAAAGTCATTAGCAAGCGACATGTTTTGTACTTTGATATTAAGTACAAAACCCCTAACCCAGGGGTCTGCAACCTTTTTTAGCAAAAGAGTAATTTTGCCCCATTTTCACCAAAAAAAATTGTCTGGAGCCGCTAAACATATTTGATAGCTTGATTGCTTATAAAGTTGTATTTATTGTTATATCATAGACAAAAACTACAGTTTTTTTGCATTTATTAATTATTACATTATATAAAACTGTAAAAGGTGGGGTAGGTAAGTTTGAGAAACCGGCTCGAGATACACTTTTTGTTATATTCCATGGAATGCTCTTAACATCCCGATAGCAATGAATATCTTAAAGGTCCCATGTCATGCTTTTCCGGTTATTACCCGTCCCCTTGTGTGTTATGAAGGTTTTTATGCATGTAAACGTTGTGCAGAGTCAAACCCCTCAAAGTACACCCTGTAGCGAGCAAAACTCTAACACAGAAAATAACTCCCCAAAACGCCTCGTTGGAGATACGTCATTGTTCATTGTTTACTTCCTGGGTATCATGACGTATGAATGGCCAGTAGCCGCGCCCAGAGCTATGACGCGATACGGTCATGCGTTACCCGGAACCAAATGGACCAATCCGCGGAGCCGTTATGTTAAGCCCCCGCTGATTGGTCCAAATTGACCAATCCACAGACTTCCTCACACACACACTGCTGATTTCTCCTCCCTGGCTGCAGGCTGATAACAGACAGTTGGGATCGCGGCGAAATTCTCTCTGCAGACCCATTCTCACAGCGTTTATCAACCTTTTTCTTACTCAATATCAAGCCACACTTATTGTTTTTACTTCGGCTGTGACTTTGTGTGTGACAGGATGAGTTTGGCTGTGTTTCGCTGTCGCTCAACAAGGAAACCACACCTCCACTGAGCTCAGCGCGATTCACAACGTCCCGACCAATCAGAGCACACTGTGCTCACAGGGAGGGTGGGGGCTGGAGCTATTGCAGTTTATCCTAACCCTAGAACCGTTAAAGGCAGAAAGTGGCATTCAGTGAATACACGTAGTTTACAGAGATGCTGTGAGAAACCAATGTGAGTTTGGAAAATTGCACAATATAAATCTATTCTAATAGACCTCAACAATGGAATTATGATCAGTGGAAATGGCCATGACATGGGACCTTTTTAAGTAGTGATGGCGAGATGAAGCCTTATGAAGCTTTGAAGCTTTCCAGCCAATTGGTTCGCAAAAGGGTTCATCTCATGAGGCTTCATCATGGGCTTCATTTGAACACAAACCCCCTGTTGGTCAAAGTGTGTAAAACAGGCAGATTGGACATCTCAACAGTGTGCTCTCTCATACAGAGTTCCCAATGAGTAAAGCCTTAGAATACCTCTAAACAACGAACATAAAATCATATTTTCATGTTAACAATATTGTATTTATTCCAGTTGAATGATTGTGATTGAAAAGCCTAAGGAGGCTGGTAAACATTGCAAAGAGGGATTTGTATTCCTTCATAATATTCATAAACGTAACCATGTTGTAGCCTGAGAAAGGCTAAACCATATCAAAGAATACATTTATTAACTACATTATCTCATTTAGCTGTAGCTTTTATAAACAACTGCGGTAGTGAGTCAACTGCTTTCCAGCTGAGCCACAGCACACACACTAAAGCTCCCTGAAAACACTGCAAGATATGTATTCCTGTATTTATTGATGTTTTTATTCCTACATCTATTTATGCTTGTATCTATTTATACTTATGACATGTTCCGACCTCTATATAAGTGAGGGTCATCGTGTCACCAGGCCCGGGTACAAGAGGGGTAATATGGTTCTTATTATACATCCATGGGTATTATGAGCGCTGTGTCAACGGTTCAACCGATCTGAATCGCTTCGTGAAGCAGTCACGTGGTATCGACAGGCAGCGAGGCTTCGTTTGTCATCGATGACGTCACTGGCCCAAAACGATACAAGCCTCGATACATGCTTCACAA